ACACCCACACACACACACCCACACACACACACACACACACTTTGAAAGGGTTCATAGGTAATGAGTCCATTCTATTAGTGCATGCACAAATGTACAGAACACATCCACATCACAATCATATCTACAAAAGCTCTCATGAGATATGTATACATGCTTTCACATGAGCCATGTTAATGCAACTTTAAATGTCAACACTCCACTTTACAGAGTGCCAATATCTCTGGCAATATCTTTGTCATAAATGCAGATGAGGAAAGCACTAGGCTTTGTTAGTCTGCACAGAGCAGAGTCACTCAAAGGATGCAGACATATTGCACAACTGTGTGAATATAAAGGAGAGGATACAGCAACTGTCATGGAAGGCATATATAGGCCTAGCTTTGCCTTATGAATGCACTATCCATTGACCAGTCTGTTAGGGCTACACTTGGAAAAGATTCCATAAGCATGAAGTCTGGGACACTGGCAAACAATTTGACTGATAGTACCAATATTGTGTATTTAGCTGAAATTATTACAACATGATGCCAAACCCTTGGCCAGCCCCAATGTCTGGCTCTTACAAGCAAAAATAGCTTGATGACATAATCACAGTGCCACATTCCCTTCCCTTCTATGAACTTTAACCTTTAGCTTCAATGTTTATTATACTGAAGGTCTTCCATCTTGTTTATATCAGATGCACAGATGATTGTTGGAGGTTAAGCCTCTGAAGTTGATCTGCAGAGATCTGAGTTGGGGTGAGGTGGTTATGGCACCTGTGAATCCCTTATTCTTATAACACTTTATTACTAAGCCACAGGTCATCTGGCTTGGAAGCTTTAAATCCACTTCAGAGGAAGCTGCTAGCTTTCAAGGCCACCTTTTGAGACAAATTAGAGATGTAGCAGTTCCCACTGAATGGCTCAGGTTCTTCCACTGTACGCAGGTATATATTCTTCAAAGATTCAAAATCCTACAAGCTACAAGTTCAAAATTTTCTCCTTAGCTACTGTAATTCCAGAACATGAAAGAACCAGGTGCCTGGATTGGTATTTAAACTATGTGTCTGGATTAAGACCAAGATGTGGGGGTGGGGGGGACACACAGAGACTTAAGGGCATTTAAACCATTAGTCTGGAATGAGCGATGTTCATGGAGAACATTGCTTTGCATCCTCCCAACTCTTGAAAGCAGGTTGGGTCCTACCATTAGGCAGGGTGTGGCAGATGCCTTGAAAAGAAAACTTTAGATGTCATGAAGGGATAACAAATTATCTGCTCTGCTGACAAAGTTCTAAACATATCCAACACAGAGACTATAACAAACACTTGCTTCTGTCATGCCCAGTATATGATCTGAAATCTACTCATCGTTGATGTTATTTCTTTTAAATGGAAGGTGGGTGAAGGACCATCCTTAATGTACCTGTTTCTGAGAATTAATCATAATTTTCTTGTTTCTAACAACAATATTACCATTCTGACAATAGACACCAAAAAATCCATTTTGGCAAAGGCATGTATTTGGTTTAATACAGGAGCCACCATTGAGGCACACTGGATCACACACCGCTGAAAAAAATGTAAAGAGAAAACATTGTTTTTAAATTCAACTCCTGTACAGGCAGTTATTTCATTTCACTGCATGCAAATGGTCTTTGAACTCAATTATGGTGTTACAGGAAAAATGACATGGCATTTACTTGGAACTGTTATTGATGGCAAATTTGCCACTTTCTTTTTCTCCATATGGCAGTTTTGGCAAGTAATGATTAAAAAATGCAATGAAATGATCTCTTATCACTATCAGGGATGCCACTCCTTCCAAGCCAAAAAACACAGTAACTTGTGCTTGTTTCCATCAGCTGCTTATTTAAATGTATGCTCGACTACAAATGCAATTGGACTAGCCAGTACTAGGAGAGTGATTAATAAACAAAATCTTTATATGAGCAGAACCGGATTCTACTTGTATAGAGAACCAATACATAAAATCTTGGTTTAACATATTAAAACAAGACCAAGTGGCAAACCTACTGGTATTTAAGAATGAGTCAAAAGATAATGGAAATTAAGTCAAGCATAATAGTACACTTTCTTCTCAAAGCTATAGCAGCCTTTCCTTTCTAGGATCCAGAGGTGTAGTTCTAATCAGCATTATAAATATAAGGACACTAGATAGTTTTTACCATGACAGCAGTAGCTTCAATGACTCACTTTATACATCAATACTGAGCAGCGATCTCATAAAACCCAATGAAGAACCCTCTCTAAGGAGGGCTGATCGTCCCCATCCTGACCCTAACATTGGTCAATAAATAATTTATGTCAGAACTCTGATATTTCAAGGTATATGGTTTACAATATCACCAATTTTTTAACTTCAATTTTTTTCCGGCTGTGCTTGCTTCTCTTTGTGATAAAGTATACATAATCTTCTGCAAATGACTTTCCTTTGTGGCTTGCTTTTTACCTGTACTACACGTAGGACCATACCATCCAACTCTGCACTGGCAGACATCTGGTGTAAGACATTCACCTCCATTTTCACAGTGCCTGTTGCAAACCACTACAATGAGCAGAATTAAGATAAGTAAATATAAGTATTAGTTATTATAGAAAAGATGTGCTACTGCATAGCTATAACACACTCAAATAATTTCTCAGCTTTTGTCTCAATGTTCCTTTATTCCTTAATTTTTAATAATAAGTACTTCTTAAGATACTGACACATAAAATGAATATAAATCCTGTTTCATTAAAGCAGAACAGAACGAAAGCTTAGAAACAGAAGATATTTTAGAAAGCTTGAAGTAGAGGTTAAGGTGGTATATGTACCTTTTTTCTCTCCCACTTTATACTCACATCAACTCTGCAATGGAGGTTCAGGCTAAGAGACAATGGCTCTCCCAAGGATACCTTGTGAGCTTCACAGATCAAATAATAATCCAAAACATGTCTCTACAATGTCCCAGTCTAACACTCTAATTATGACACCACACTAGCTATCTTTATCATAATGTTAAAGGAACAATGTATGCTAAAAGTATTCTCTTTCCTTTCTCAGTGTATCTCCTAATTTCGTACTGAAAAATGCGATAAGAATTTTCAAAAAAGAAAATTTTTGATATGCTGAAGAATGGTATATCAAGAGATCCATACCAAGGCAAGAGAGCAGTTACAAATTTGTAATATTGTATTTTCTGCTAGGACCATATGCGCAACCAAGAACTATTGTAATAACCAGGAACAGTTTAACTGTACTGATGTTATGTAAGATGCTCAGGATAAACAAACTACTCACTCCTGGTTTTAATGTGTAACTTCTCATATTCATGGATAGATATATGTACAATCAGTTACTACTGATAGTATAGCACAGGGTTGGGCAGAAATCAGAGTAAGCTTCACGAAGATACATCTCTGGATAACTTGTAGCAGGCCAATGAAAGTTTCTGAATTGCTCAACAATGGCAAGCACAAAAATATTTTTCCCACCTGAATGAGTAGGCTGCTGAAATGAGGAAAACTTGGAGTAACCATGGGGTAGCAATGACTCCATGATAAACTAAAGAGCCATGAGCACTGAAAGGTGATTATGAATCCCTGAATATCCTAGTGATGGTAAAAGTAGGAAAGAGATGTTGGAAAAAACCTTGGTATGTTATACTTAGGCCAACTTATACTTGGAGGAGAACTACTGAAATCAGTTGCTCTTAACAGACTGAAGACTCATTAGTTTCAATGCTTCTTCTCTAAAAATGGCCAAGCCTGTGTCTAGTCCAATATTCTGAGCCAACAGCTAACCTATGCAAATGTTCTACATGTATCTCAGGTTTCTGGATATGTTTTGGATATTATTGGATATATAGCTATGCTCTATTTTGCCTTACTGAGAATGTATGATAAAAGGATTGCTCAGGTTAGTTATCATACTATTAGTCCAGCACTAAATTTCTAGAGGAAATTTATCAAAACATTCAGCCAATTAGTGAGAAGTCTGTAATAACTTGTGTGGTGATTGGCATAAAATGCTAGAGATTTACAGTTCCTCTTTTGTGTACATTTCTCTGTACTGGGATCCCATCTTTCATTTACTTGTAACAACTTACTTGTTTCACACCGTGGACCCACAAATCCATATGGGCAAGTGCAAAGGTTTCTTTTCAGACATGTCCCTCCATGTTGGCAAGGTGGATCACAATGTGCTACAGGTGCAAAGATAGTCTGTTCAAGAAACCAGCTCCAAAACATCCATGAAAATCAAAGACATTTAAGCAAAAGGAAAAACAAAATAGGCTTCTGCAGCCAGCAGGGTGGGGCGGGGCTGTTGCCTCGGGGTGCAAGATTTTTAGGAGGGGCAAGACACACAGCCTCACCACCTAGCCAAGCTTTGCTGCCTTGGTGCAGTGAAGGATTTGGGGCCAGCTGCAACTGGAACAGACGCCTTGGCCCATCTCAGCCCTGCCCCTTTTCCTGGCAAATGGCGACTCTGCTTCTGTGCCTTCCAAGCTACAGATCAGCCCTCAGTGCCTCTGCCACCTGCCCCACCATGCTTAGTGAGCCCTTCCCCCCCTTTAGTCACCTCACCCCTTTTGGGGAAGCAGGACCAAAGAGAGATCCATGCTTGGGGGAAGTTACTTCTTTGAACTACACAGGCACCTGGTGGCTGGGGGGATTCTGGGAGTTGTAGTCCAAGGGTTAGAGTCCATGTGTTAGGAGGCACAGAACATGCCTTGCCCTGGGTGCTGCCAACCCATGTTATGCCACTGTACACAGCCAGTTAATCAGTCAACAACTGAGTGATAGAAATCAAGACAGACTTCTGCAGTGTATTCTGTGCAAACCATTTGGAATAGCTGTCTTTTTAAAGAAACAATTGATGTTTCTACTTGGAATGTCAAAAACAGTAAAGATAAAATTCTTTTGCATATATTCCACATGGGCCAAAAAGAAGTTGAATGTATGTGAGCATGATGAAATCAAGACTGGTAGCATTTCCAAATGCTGAACTTAATCCATACAGTATTTCCATTTTAACTTCTATACTTGAGAGCAAAATTTCAGTTCAAAGATATGCCAACATATTTTGATGATACTAAAGTATTTCCACTGAGTAGCATGTTTTGCTAAATATTGTCATTTAGATAATAGATCAGCGTGTGCATCACCATTTGTTTTGGTTCATACTTGAAAAGGTGATAGATTTCTAACAAGTCATTTTTAACAGTAGACCCACTGAAAGTAACAGACTTTAATGCTAGTCATGGCTAACTGAAGTCTTGGAGGCTGACTACACAGGCTTTTAAACCCACAGTTTGGTCCACTGCAGGAACGCTCCACTTTTAAAGACCATGATTGAATGACATGTTTATTGGAGCAGATCAGCACCCCTCAGAGCAGCCCTAACTTTCTGAGCCCCTGACAGAGGCTTCTACTTTTTTGGTGACAATAGGATTGCTCTCATTTGGATCAGTTCCAGCATGTGTGATCTCTGGAACCAATCCAAAGCAAGTCTTCCAGTCTGAATTTGCCAATATTGTGAAGTGGATTAACAATCACTGATGCACTACATCAGTTATTTTTTAAAAATATTTTCTTTGCATCATCTTAAAGGGCTGGGCTAGAAAGGTGAATCCATGACGGTGGCTTCAGCTGCAAGTGGTTTCTTAACTGGCCCTTTAGGAGAAGACAAAAATATATATATTTTTCTTCAGCTGCAAGTGGTTTCTTAACTGGCCTTTTAGGAGAAGAAAAAATATTTTTAATTTTTTTTAAAAAAAAATAACTGATTCAGTGCATCAGCAATAATTCATATACATTTTAAAAATTGATCCCCCTTCCCCAAGGATCAGAAGAAGAGATTAAACTGCCAATATCGTGAAGTGGCTTGTTTATTAAGCCACTTCTCAATATTGGCGGGAGCAGTTTCCATGTGAACTGTTGGATTGTTTATTAAGCCACTTCACAATATTGGCGGGAGTAGTTTCCATGTGAACTGTTGGGCTTGATTAATCACTCTAATCAAGCCCAAATGTTCTAAAGTGGCCCACCCTAACTCGTTTCCTTCTGCCAGTGTAGCCACACATTAGCCTCTCCAAGAATAATCCAACCCAGAATCTCTAGTTCAGGGCTGAGGAAACCTGTGGCCTTCCAGATGTTGTGGGACTGTCTTCCACAGTTCTGGATGTTCTGATGATTAGGGATGAGGAGGGTTGCAGTATGACAACATTCATAAGGCTGCTCCTGCACTAGCTATATGTGCTTACTTGAAAAATTAGGTATCGAGTATTATTGGTAAAATGAGGACAGCAAGGATTCTTTCAGTCAGTATAGCTGTAGCAGAGATGATGAAACTAGACATGGGCAACACAGAGAAGTGCATGGGGTGACCTAATTTATAAATTTCAGCCACTACTAAACCAATTACTTTTGAGGGAACTTTTGTGACAAGTACGTGGCTTTCAAGTGTGAGCATAGGATTGCAAGATAAAATTGCTACACACCATTGCAGCTCCATGTATCACAGCAGGGTTTTTTTTTAAAAAAAATGTTTTTAGGACAAGAAATGTCATTCTAAGAATAGCTGATTTTATGTGAACTGTGTGCACAAAAATGAAATATGACTTCTATATTCTTTTGAGGTTTTTTTTCCTGGAATGCATTAAATAATTGATGCTGACACTTGCAGATTAATTTTCACAATAAAGCTGAATACAGGTTTTGGCTCCATTTACCTTTCTCACAGATGGAACCGCTGAATCCTGGGAGACATTCACAAGTATTAGGCTTGGTGCATTTCCCATGGTTTTTGCATTCTGGCCGACACAAAGCTATATAAAACCAATGTTTCATATTTTTTTAAGATGTATGATTTGGAATAAAGAATTACAAAAGGCAAACACAATGTATATTACTCACCAGCCTGACAACTACGGCCCAAGTAACCAGGCTTACATCTACATGTATTGGGTGCTACACATTCCATGTTTAGACCACATGTATGCCTGCATATTGCTACAAGAAAGGAGGGAAATAGGATCAGCAGCCAGCAATTCCTGTGAATTCCTGCATCAATGTAAAAAAAAGGGGGGGCAGCAGCAGCACCTGTATAACACCTGGTAATATGCAACTACACCAGTGCAAAAGAACTTACTCATGACTGTCTGCTCTTTACCTGACACAATACACAATCAAATCCAGCTCTTACTTTCTGATTTTTATCCATGAAATGTGAATGTTAATAGCTTATTTCTAAGGGCAGTTGGGGTGACATAAGAAATAAGGATGGTAGGTATATTACTCTATGCTGTCTACATAGAGTAATAAACATGAGGCTTCCATAATGCAAATAAATAAATAAAACTCTGAAACCTCTTGAGCATTCCACTGCCCTCCCGTCACTGGCAGCCTAATTACTTACTTATTAGCTGTGCCAACAAGAGCTTGGTATCTTCTTTGGAACACCTTTGAAGTCTTACTGACTTCTGGGGGAAATGAGGATGTAAAGAGTGGGTCTTATGTGCACCCCAATCTCAAACATGAATTTAGTCCTGCATGGTTTCAGGCATGGCACCTGAATAGGGCTTAACTCCAGTTCTATGGGGATTCTGTAATGAGGCATGATTCTGAGGAACTAAAATGTTTCATCCTGGAGTGTTGATGTTCCAGACCAAAGATCCAACACCACAGTTACAAGTATTATCGGGTTGTGGCAATGTTCTCTGGAACACTTTGTGAGCTGCAACTCATTCTTCTCTATACCGTCACCATAAAAATTAGTCACAAACATTTCCCATAAAAATGACTGCATTGCATAAGCATAGCAAAACCTGTGCTTTTGAAGGCACTCATACCTTTGCAAGTGACACCATTTCCATAATAACCAAAAGGACAACGGCCACATTTGAAGCTTCCCTTGTCATTTGGCTGGCAAGGAACCCCAGGAAAACAGGGTGAATCTGCACAGGTTAGTAACTGTGGAATTGTTGTTGAGACTAATTTTTGACTTGTGCCAGGCCTTTTTGATAGCACAGCAGTTCTCTCAAAGGTAGACATTAAAGTATTATCTTTAAGCTTGCCAAATATATTTGGAAATTGACGATCACGTCTTCCTCCTGGTTCCTTCTTGGTTAATAGCATCCCATTGACCATGTTAGCCTTGCTGCTCAATGTTATGCTGGCTTCAAGTGGGGAATAAGTCTGGTTTTGTATCTCTGTAGTCTTCCCAGAAGAGACTGTGTTATTCCTATGGAATGTGTCAGATGTAGAGTTTATTGTTAAGTCCTCCCCTGTATTGCCAACATGGATGTTTATGGTAGTGATACCAAATGTATAATTGTGGTATCTGCTAGTAACAGGCCTTCTAAGCACTGTTCTTTGTGAAATCAGGACGTTTGAAGATACGGTTGTCTGGTCTGCTGAAGTGAGTGGAATGTTATTGGCTCCTTCTGTGGGAACAAAACTTTTGGGAACATCTGCAGGATTAGGAGGAAAGTGCGTAGTATTTGGAACCTTAACTGTTGACGGTTGCAGGAAACCTGCCAAAGAAAGATAGAAGACAAAAGCAACAGCATTACTACAGGTTTACATTTCAAAGGAAATGGTCTTAAGTCAGTGAAAATAACAGCTTTTTATATTTGCCAGAATTCTTCCTGCTGTACCTGCTACTAGTATTTAGTATAATCAATAGATGACAAATTTATATCTTCACAACATCTCTAAGATTTATTCAAATAATAGAGTTGGCAGATAACACAAAACAAAAAGACAGCTGTTTGTGCTATTTAGCATCAGTAATGTACACAAATGCAAAATGCAGCACAAGCTCTTTTCTTGTTCTCATCCATTTTTCTGCCCATCTTAAATAAAAGAATGAGGAGTTGGAAGCTATTGAAAAAGTCATTTGGCTAATGTCCTGCCAATACAGGAAATCCAGGCAATGAAAATGTTTAATGAAAAAGAATAACACCATCTTCTGAGGCAGTGTATTTTAATACTTAACAGCTTTTTCCTAATAACTAGCAGAATATTTTGTGTAATTTGGACCTACTAGATATGTACTCTGAAGCTACAAAAACCACATTTTCATCATCTCTGGGGCAGCCTTTCAAACATTTGTAAATGGATATTAGGTGGTTTCTTAACTATCTCTTTAACAACATGGACACATACACTTCTGATCCCTCAGCACTTTTGTTAGCCCTCCTCTAGACTTTTTGTAGCTCAGCAACATCCTCTTTAAATTTTAGTGCCCAGAAATGAACCCAAAATATCAGTAATGAATTCTTTCTAGAACTTATATAGTTCATAAGACATGGCTGGGCAGCACTGTTCATGACAGCACCTTTTGGAGGTTGTTCATTCATAGAGTTGCTGTTACATCAGAAGGAACTTGAGGACACATAACAATAACAGAATTTACAGATGGGCAGAACAATGTATGAGAAAAGAGCTTGTGCAGACTAAGAGTAATGAGGATGGAGCTTAGGGGAAAGGGTGACAGTAAACTATGCACTAAATGCATGTCTATGTAAAACAAACAAACATTTGTACCATTTCAATTGGAAGGTTACAAGTAAATGATCATAACACCATTCAAAAATAAGTTCCTACATGTGGAAATACATTTCATCAAGGGGAAAGGCTCTAACTTCTCTTTGGCATGTGAAGACAAAATATACACACAGATATAAAATTCAGTTCTTCAAATACACTCAAATATACAGTAAAATGATCCACTTGCACTTTGAAGTAGTATAGACTGTTACTCATGTTATGTGTTCTGCATATTTTTTTCCAAGGACTACAGAGTTTATTTCCTGAATTAAATCATTTTGGTAGATTAAAGTGGTGTTCCTAAGTTGCCCATTGCAGAACAATTATTCATAATAACGAAGCAACAAAGTTCATCTTTTTATCTTCAGAACTACTGTTATTCCATAGGCATATTTGTGCACATTTAATCAATTAATTGACTGAAAGCATGTGATCAACAAGCAACAGGCTTAATCATCTCAAAATCCGTTGTCAGGGAAACTTGGCATAAGGAAAAAGGCAGAGGTAAAGAAGTTTTGAAGGACAGTGGGTGGTGGTAGAGAAGAGAGAGCAGGTATACTAGTACAAAATGCATGTAAGTAGGAAGAGGCATTGTTCAGTGGTAGAATATATGTTGTGCAATGTAGAAGGGCATGGCCTCCATCTATGGAATCCCCTCCATCTATGGAATGAACCCTCTCTGAAAACATAGAGATCCATCATCCAGTTGGACTGATGATTTGATTCATTATATGATAGCCTCTTATAGTTTAGAGATGGGACAGCCCCACAAATGCACTACAGTTAGTTCTCTGCTGAAGATCAGAAAACAGAAGAAACAATAGCAACAATGAAAAGATTAACATCTATGATGGTAATGAAAATTTCCCCCTAATCTAAAAAGTATATGAACAACATAAACCTGAGCTCTTTACTTGCCAGGGACAAATTCACCAGTATGGGAGCCAGCTGTTGTGCTTTCTTGATGAATACTAAGATTTTTGCCCACTTTTACTCCGGTTTGATCATGGTGATCTTCTTTTGGCTCGTATGCATTTTCTGGAGTCAAAGGAAGAGCTGGAGCCTTGCTAGTTGATTTTATTTCATCTGTAACATAAATATAGACATTTCCAGTCACCATTTAGCAAACAAAGGAAAACATACTGAGAGGCCAGCTGCAGAGTTACAAAACAGTTCTTGGGCTCTTTTTTTTTTTTGCATCTTATGCTTAACAGTCCCCCTGCCTTTTCAAGTATGGCCACAAAGATCCTTCACCTTCTACATATATATACAAAGGCACACAAAGAAAAATAGAATTGGAACACGTTTAAGGGAAGAACTACTACAAACACAATGCAAGTCGTGTATTGCTGTTCCTGTCTTAGAACAAATCATCTCCCTCCACAGTGAGCCAGCTATGAGATTTGGCGAGAGGGGAGGGAAGATAGTTTCTTTACACCCAGAAATCCCATTTCCCAGCAGCAATTTCATTTTGCTTCCTAAGTTCCTGTAGTATTCCTGGGGCATTGCTGTACTGCAGCCATTAAAACAAAATTAATACAAAGAATGCACATGTTTTACAAGGTGTATGCTCTACTGCAAAGGCAGGAAAACTTCAGCCTTCCATATCTGCATAAACTACTACTCCCATTATATCAGGGTGGTTAGAGTTAAAGATGAAAAGGTAAAGGTAAAGGTCCAGTTGTGTTCGACTCTAGGGGGCGGTGCTCATCCCCGTTTCCAAGCCATAGAGCCAGCGTTTGTCCGAAGACAATCTTCCGTGGTCACATGGACAGTGTGACTTAGACACGGAACACTATCTTCCCACCGAAGTGGTCCCTATTTATCTACTCGCATTTGCACGCTTTCAAACCGCTAGGTCGGCGGGAGCTGGGACAAGCGACGGGCGCTCACTCCGTCACATGGATTCGATCTTACAGCTGAGGATCTACAGACCTTACACCGCAAAGGCTTCTGGGGTCTAACCCGCAGCGCCACCACGTCCCTCAGAGTTAAAGATAACTAGATGACATGTTCCCCAGCCCTGTCCTACAAGTCCAATCCCTAAAGCTGCCACAAAGGAGACAAGAGGATTCTGCCTCATTCAGATTTGTCTTCTACCTCATACAGTGGGGAATTAATGGCATCTGTTATACAAACTGTATAGGCCCTCTGTGGATGGCTCTTCAAATTCTGTCCCAGAAGATTCAGCATCTTCCCCTCTTTTCAGTCTCCAATTTTTCCTTAGTATCTGCTAAGAATCCTCTTTTTACCACTCACCAGCTAAGCTCTTTGGGCATAAAGAGGATCATTTCCAGAGAGCCAAGAGCAGAAGCCACATGGAAAGCCACAGGTATCTGTCATACAAGATCACAACTGCTAACATTTTAAAGGATACATTTTTGTTATCAGAGGGTGCTGCAAAACTAAAAAACCCAATTGAAGATGCTATGCGGTACAACCCAGGTTTCTTGGAAAATAATTACATATGAACAACAGAACAACAGTATCAAAAATATATGATTAACTAAAAGGACAGAATTCAAAAAATATAAACAGTGGGAGGTCAATACAGTGCTACTGCAATAAACGATTATTACTAACATTTAAATAAATACAATTTGAACAAAATAGTTACACTATAGTTAGTTTCTATGGCAGTTCATTTTGCCTCCCACTACCCCCCTCCCCAGACCTCCAGTTAATAAACACAAACCCCTAAGACACCCCTTCAGCTTCAGTCAGGCCTGACATACAACATAGATCTCTAAGACGTCCAAAAACAGATGTTTCTTCTATTAACAGCACTCACTACTCTCTAATATCCAGATCCGTTATTCTTGTTCTACTGTCGTTTCAGATATTTACTGTTTGCTTCTCTCACTACTTCTCCTTTGATCTCAAGAAGGATTTATTTAATTTCTGCTGGTTGCATCTCTCTTACTCTAGTGTTCACCTGCTCCACATACTGCCGGTTTCCTGCTCCGTTGCCCTGGCAACTTGCTCCTTTTCCAGTGCTGTGTCTGTCTAGACATTTCAGATCTAGATGCACTATGCAATCACACTGAAATACCATATTTTCCCCATTTATTTCAGTATAACACTGTGTAATTTCTAAAAGCTTCCCGACTCAACCTTTGGGGATTAACATTCAATTTCTCAAATACCTACAAACCCAATAAATGTATATAACATTATGTATGCAGGTACCATGATTCTTGAGACAGACAGTATAGAAGGCTTACTGAGAGCCATTTTGGGACATTAAGCAAATCTGCCCATGATGTCTACCTACATTTCTCTTCTCCCAGAATTCTCTTTCCTAAATAACCCCTGATTGTTCAGGAATGTAATTCTCCCAAGTGCTGCCTAGTGTAATAAACAAAACTTTAGTAAAGCATCTGAATAAAAATCCAAACTGATTATAATGAACAGCCACTGTGATATAATATTCCATCTTTACTCTACCCTCTTACCTTTGTACAGAACAGTGCCGTACACGTAGTTTTACATTTACTATGTAACTGTCATATTTCTCATCATCCCAGGGCAGTGGTTCCCAACCCGTTTTCACTTGTGTATCCCTTGGAAGCTAATTCCCATAAATTGCACCCTTCATATTAGCAAAATGTTTGCAATTAATATGGTTGCTGTTATTTCAAATTCATATGTAAACAAATAGCCCAATAATGGGATAAAAAAATAACAAGAGTAATAAGGTGAACAGACAGTCCATATATATTTACTGTGCTGGTTTTCAAACTGATCCATAGCTGATAATGAACAAATTGAAAAATAATTTTAAAGCTGAGAAGAGACGTAGAGAAGATCCAGAAGAACTCATTCACTGAACACCGATTACAAGACTGACTGATAAACACATCAGTATATAATACATACATATATACACAAAGGTACTACAGCACTTGAATGTTTGTGAAGTGGTGGAGAGTGAAAGCTGAGTCTGTGTTCACAACTCATTATTTAGGGAGGGATTCCCCACCATTCACCAAAACAACAAAGCAAGGCAATGGGGCTTTTCTCAAGGTTAAATAACAAAGAAAACCTGCTCCACCACTCGTCATGATGTTCAATTAATTTCATAATGTTTGACTTGTATCTTGTTCTACACTGTTGATGTACTGTATGTGCCTTTTTCTGCCGTTATTTTTTTTCACGTACCCCCTGAATGTCCTGGTTTGTAGCCCTGCAGGCAGTCATAACCCAGGTTGAGAACCACTGTTCTAGGGCATTTCACTGGCTGCCTGTCGAGTCGAGGACATATTTTAAACTTGTTACCCTGATGTTCAAAGCCCCCAATTTTTTTCTGTCCTAATTATTTAGCAGAGCTGGGGGCATGGCATGTTCCTCTCAAAAATATTTGGTCTGCAGATTGCAGACTTCAGGTTGTCCCTTGGATTAAGGTGGCAAGTCCCAGGTTTTGGCTTTCTCCCACTTGGCTCTGACGCTGTGGAATTCTCTCTCCCTGTACATTCGTATGGAACCAGAGTTGGACAAATTTAGACAAGGTTTGAAAACCTATCTGATCAACTTGGAGCCATGGGTGTCTGGTTTAGTAAGAGAAGAACAACTGGTACTTTTTGACTTGAATTTTCTAATCAGTTTATTGGTAGTTTAACTCTTCTTGGATGGCTGCCCATTCTAAGGTGTTTTATGTTGATGTACATAAACAAACAAACTTATGTTTTTAGCTGTTGTGTTTGCATTTGTATGTTTTATTGATTTCACTGGAATGTGCTCTGGTACAGAGCGCAATATAATAATAACTGCATGCTATCACATTGATTCTGACTTATGGCAACCTTTCCGGAGTTTCTTGGACTCTTCTTGGATGGCTGCCCATTCTAAGGAGTTTTATGTTGATGTACACAAACAAACAAACAAATAAACAAACAAACAACAAACAAACATGTTTTTAGCTGTTGTGTTTGTATTTGTATGCTTTATTGATTTCACTGGAATGTGCTCTGGTACAGAGCGCAATATAATAATAATTGCATGCTATCACGTTGATTCTGACTTATGGCAACCTTTCCGGAGTTTCTTGGTAGAGACTATACAGATTTACCATTCCCTTCTCCTAGGGGTAGTCTAGGACTGTGCAGGTTGGCCAAGGCTACACAAGCGGGCTTTTCTCCAAGGACACACAATGGGGCATCAAACTCTCAACCTTTGGCTCCATAGCCAGATACTTAAACCACTGAGTTACAAGCCAACTATTATTTATGTAATTACAGCCAGATACTTAAACCACTGAGTTACCAGCCAACTATTATTTATGCAATTTTTTTACTCCACCTTTTTCCTTAAAAAGGACCCAAGACAGCTTACATCACTTAAAGACAATATTTAAAGCCAAAAACAGTAAATCTACAACTATTAAGAAGGATCAAACAAATATCATGCAAAAAGACAGTGAACAAAGAAACACCAGAAACACATTCAAAGAAGTAAAGTAAAGCCATCCATTAAAAACCCCACTCAGACAGCCAGTCATTAAGAGACAGCTTGACTGAAGAGAAAGGTCTTTGCCTGCTTGTGGAAGGGCAGCAAAGATGGGGCCAGCCTGGCCTCCTGTGGGAAGGAGTTCGTAATAGTGACAGAGGAGGCCCATGTTGTGGTGGTTGTGTTTGTGGTTGTGCGATATAATAGTTGGTGTACTAGGATTTCAGATACCTAGGTTATGATCCCAATTTTAAGCCAGTCATGCTTTCTCAGTCTTACTTACCACACAGAGTTGTTGTAAAGATAAAGTGGGAAGAAGGAGAGCCATGTACACTGCCACCACCCCATTGTAGGGAAGGTGGGATAGAAATGTAACAAAACTAACCAAGTATTTTTAAAAACCAGTGGTTACCATAGCATATTTTCCCATCTCCGTACAAGCCTTCTGGACATGGACCACAATAATAGGCATCAACAGTATTGAAGCAAACCACTCCAGGAAAACATGGCTGGGTTTTGCACTCATCAGGATCTTCTTGGCAAAGTCTACCTAATCAGAAATAAAACTATTCAATCATACTACAACATTTTCAGGATTTTGTTGCTCATTCAGACAAGCGGGTCATGCAAACAAAGTGCCACAAATATATCATAACTTTAAATAAATAAATAAATAAATAAAGAAAGAAAGAAAGACAGAAAGAAAGAAAGAAAGAAAGAAAGAAAGAAAGAAAGAAAGAAAGAAAGAAGAACCTCTAGCCCATGGCAGATAGCAATCCTGGACTTTCTAGAAATTAAAATATTGTAGTTCTCTAGATCATTTTATTACATATTTATTTAAGACTCTTTTAGTCCATAATTCAAGTTCCTGGGAGCAAGTTCCATTGAACTCAATGCGGCTGACATGTCTAGAACTGCATGGGTTTTTTAAAGTTTATCTGCTGGTTTCCTCTGTATTCTTGAAACTACATAAGCTTAATGGCAGACTTTGTCCCCTTGCTCACTATTTATAACAGGCATGGAGTACATGAAAATGCAAATCAGTAAGCAATGTATACAGCATTTGTTCTGTTTAAATAAATAACACAGTAGCTATATCCTGAAATCATGCATGTAATAGGATTATTGTTATGTAAATTCAGAGTGAATAACCATTCACTCTGCAACCCAGGTGAACATTCACAGCAAAACCAATTATCCCATCAAAACATCTGCCAAGGCCACCATGGCGAGATACGTTGTTATCAGTGTTCACTTAAGAAAAGTCACCTCCAAATCCTGGCAAGCAGACACAAAGAAATTTTCCACTTCCAGGGAGGAAATTGGTATCTGCTACACAAGACCCACCATTTAAACAGTCACATGGTTTCACATGGACCTACAAAAAAACACCCAATAAAGAACAAGTTATTTATGAACTAGAAACACTGTTTATAAAGGGTGTCATTGTTATATTACAGCCAATAGTGCTAGCCATTTGGCTGTAATAATTAGTACCTCCATTGTGATTTTGGTTTCAGCATTGCAGTCATCTGTTATAGTAAAAGCAAATGTTTGAGTACTTTTTGACAGTACATTCCAGATGAGGAGCCCAGTAGGAAAGAGACTAGCACCAGAGGGCCCTGAATTCAGTGAGAAAGCAACAGCAGAACCTTCTGGATCCATCGCTGTGAATTGATACACAAAATTCTCTCCATAAAATGCCAGCAGGTTTCCTTGTGTATTTTGGAATACAGGTGGCTGGTTGTCTGAAAGAAAGGGTGGCATGTGTGAAATGTGAAAAAACACTATAGTCAAGAAAATGTTCCAGTTGTTTTCTATCCCTGTCCTAAAGGCCTTTGCCAGGGTTTCTCAACATTGAGTAATCCAGATGTTCTTAGACAGAAACTCCCAGGAAACCCAGCCAGCTTCTGGTGGTGGGGAAGGCTTCTGGGAACCAGTTTTGGGTACCACTAGACATCGGCTTCACTGTTAGGGGACTATTGTGCACCTGAATTCAGTGCTTTACTTATGGCTGGTCAGCTGCTGCAAAAAAGGACTTAAAGAGTGGGTGGGTATTCCACAGGGATGCTGGCAAATCTCCAGGTCTAAGTCCCAAGTCTGAGTCTGAATCTTTGGTACAATACCAAGTCCCAAGCTCCAATGCTGAGTCCCTATTAAAAACAAGCTTCCCCTACAAAAAGGAGGCCTGGGTGGGTTCCAAGTTGCAAGTCAAGTCCTAGTCATTGGAAAAACAACACCTGAGTTGAGTCTGACTTAAGTCCAACTTGACAGCAAACCCTATGTCTCAAGTCCCCATGCCTGGTATTGAAGTACTAAAAGCTCTCCTACTGCCCACTGATTTCCCCACCCCCCACTCCCACAGCAGGCATTTCTCTAGTAAAGGAATAAATGTCATTGAATCAAATGCCACTGCTAACATCACTAGCATAAGTGGATGCAAAAACATATTTCTGAAAAGTTGTCCATCTCATAACTAACTGAATATTACACAGTTTTAAGAGCCATATTCTGGTATTAATTGAATCAGGTGTTCTCAATATGCCAGGAGATTAGTGCTTAGCCTTGACCCCTCTATTGCTGTTTTGATCACACTTTGATCACGATCAGAACAACAGAGGTCCCTGCTTGAATGTAGGCTCTACGCTTGAACAGGAATACTGGGAAACCTGTGTTCTTCTCAGCATGGAGGAGCCTCTCCTTTTCAAACTATGGTCTGAAAGCATAATGAAGGTGACTCTATGCACACCCAACAGTCATATTAAACTGATTTGATGGAATTTTTCCTGAACATCCCTATCATTCATTCATACATTCATTCATTCATTCATTCATTCATTCTATTTATATCCCGCCTATCTGATCTTGAGACCACTCTAGTGATACCATTGGCTTTATACTAGCCATGTTAGCACAGACTCACAGTACATGAAGCCCAATAATGTTACAGCATTACTGCAGCAGCTTTTGACCAATTGGCGGGGGGGGGAATCACCCCTCCTATCACAAGCCAGTTCTATAGCATTATCAAAGTGTAGTAGCCTGCATTTTAAAATAGTCACTTTTGAAATTCAAAGCAAACAACAAAACAAGGAGATTGATTGAGGCCATAAGGGCAGGGAAGGAAGGAACTTTTCCAGTCTCTGCTTATTAGACACAATTAAATCACATACACAGTGTTTTTTCTTTCCTACTAGTATCACTCATGAGGTCAAGTGATCACTTGAGATGAGAGCATGCATCTTTGCCTATCAAGCTTTTAAACCAATGCAAGCATATCTTCTGTTCTGGGACAAACAAATGGACTACAAATGTAACTGCTTTACATAGTGGCATACATATACGCAATCTGCTCAAGCAGTTAAACTACACTAGACACTCAATGAATGTTCTCATACCAGCAATTTCACTGCTTAGCAAATCTATCAGGAAATAATGAATCAATAAATGAACTCTCATCATATTCAAGGCCCCCCGTCTGTTTAGAGATGCATTATCAGTTTATGATAATTTACATTGCAAGCATTTGTGTACACATGCAAAATGCATCTGATGGACATATTCTGCAAAATTAATAACGTGTTAGAGGCAAGTATTTGACCAGGTGGCCTTTGTAACAAATTGGAACTTACTTTCGGAAACTGACCAAGTTGACTTTGATATTTCAGGTTTGCAGACTAAACAGGACTTGGAAGGATTCGTATCATTTTCACCATAACAAAATCCATCTATGTTGCACGTTTCTTCCTTTGTATGAAAAAAAAAAAACAAGACTCTGGGATATGTTTTTCTGGCACATTTCAAACCATATTTACTTATGTGTTACAAAAAAACTCTCTGAACTGTTGCTTCCTAACTACACTTACAGTTTCCCCACCCCCTTTAAATTGTATGTGTTTCAAGAACACAAAAGGTGCCGCAATGAATTTTGGGTATGATTTTTTGAAAAGGTAATTATTTTGGTTATAGGCAGCCATCTAAGAAGGAACACACACACACACACACACTTTTCTTTCTCATGTGGGAAGGAAAGGGTGGGGGCAGGAATGCCTTCACACACACACACACACACACCTTTCTTTCTCATGTGGGAAGGAAAGGGGGGGCAGGAATGCCTCTGCTGGGATGACATTAGCAGAATTACATAAATGTACAATCTGAAACACTGGTGGAAATCTTGTGCAGCTCCACCTGCACAGTGGGAATGATGTCATTGACAGTGGTAGATTAGCAATGACTAAAGGTTTCCTTTTAAAAATTCTGGGACTGCATCACTCACATGGAGTTTGACAAAGTAATGGGCACTTTGAAATCACCAAAGGAAGCCTTCAGACAGGGGTAATCTACTGATGACGATGACGTTATTGCCAGACTCTACCCAACAGTATTTTCCTTCTGTGTACTATTTTTCTACAAAAACTATTGTTTTAGTCATATACAAATGCATTCTTTTTGTTAGCTTCATCTAGTAGTCCATGAATATGTGTGTCATAATACGTTGGTTAATCTTTAAGGTACTTATTTCCTGACACAGGCTAATATAAATTCCCTTCTATAACTTTTTCTATAAACTATTGCAGATTTAATTGACTGATTAATCAATTACTTTACTACAACTTGTAACTAACTGTGAGGCACCTCCTAGTGGGTCTAATGGAAACTCTGGCACCAGAGCCTGAGGAAGGAACAGAAAGGGAAACAGAGGCTCCAAAGGTGTGAGAGAGGAGCTTGGGGCCAATATGCCACACCTGGGTGAGGAGGCAAGGCTGAGGTGCAGCTTGCAGAAAACAGGTATAAGTGAGAAGTGGGTGGGGATGAAGCTCAACACACTTTGTGGAACCCAGGGGAGAAAAGTGGGGTGAAGCTGAGGAAGAGCTGGGTCCGGTCTTTTGCACCCAGGGAGAGAGAGACTATGCGGTCCAGAACTCCCGGGCAGGTGTTGGGTTGAGTTGCTGGTGGCAAAGGAAAGAGAACATGGAGGTAGAGCCACAGTCTTTAACCCACCAGTGTCCCAAATGCTAGCACTGACCCCATGGAGACCTCAGCATCCAGCAGGGCACCCAGTGTCCGCCTTAAACCAATGGATGCACTGAAGGTTCAAGCACCAAAAGGAGCACCAGAGACAGTTGCAAGAGGTGCTGGGGAGGCCAGGAGAGTGTTGAGTAGCGAGCACGACAAACCCTCCCTAAAAGGCATGGATTGCTCGGGGCTGTGCTGAAGCACAACACTACCAACAGACTGAACCCAATGAGCAGAACCCAGTTTCAGGGACTGGACTTGATAGGAGCTAGTGCAGTTAACCGAGCCTGCTAGCAACCTGGTGAGGGTGGGGTGCCACAGGTCCCCAACCCATTCTTGTACCTCCACCATCACCATCACCACCACCTTGATAGGAGGAAGCAGTGCCCACATTAACTGAAACTTATTGAAATAGCTGATACATTTACTAATTTTATTTTCCAGCACCACTGAGGTTGCAAACTTCAAATGAAAAATAAAGACATACTTGCCTTTAACCTACACAATCCGTTTGACTGTGGATCACATATCTGACAAACACCATCAAATAAAGTCACTGTTTTAGGGCTGCTATAAGTGAATCCATCATTAGAAATCTGTTGAGACGTACAATAATGGTTCTGTGAGTTAGACAATAATTTGAAACAGGACTTGAAGCATTTAACTAGAAAACACTGTAGGAATGGAAAGTACTTTCAGCTGAGGAGGGGCAAATTTCCATTTGTGAGGGGCTGCAAGGGCCATTATTTCAGCAGTAAATAAAGCTAAGGGCACAGGGAAGGACCAAAACAAATTGTGCAAGACCTGATATCCTCATTACCTTTTGGGGCATCTTCCCATCATGCATATTAAGCACAATTTAATTTCCAGAGTTCTCCAGGACATGCTGGCTGGGGATTGTAGTGCACAAAAGTAAAATTTCCAAGCTTTGAGCATGTCTACATAAGAGTAAATCTTAATGCAACAGCTCATCAGACTGTAAAGTGGAGCTTAGTTCCATGCAACAGCTTCCTAAAACAGGCTTGAGTTCATTTCTATGAAACAATTTCTCCAAATATGCTCTTATCTCCAGCCACAGAACATGATTTGAAATAATAGCTGAATGAGTGAAGATAACAGCAGAAATTTACAAACTGGATGGGAATCTTCAGTTTTACCTTGGCTGGAGGACAGGAGGCTATTTGTTCTTGCCTTAGCGACTTAGGTCATATATGTTTTAGAAAGTATAAAACCAGCAGACCATGAGATTTATTAGCTTTTAGAGAAAACATGTCAAGATTTATAGATTGTTCTTAAGTGCAGTTTCCGTATTTGTTTACAAAAGCAAAGCACAATATACAACTGTCATAAAAAACACAAAGTAACCTATTGATTATTTTTTCAAAATAAATATATATAGAGAGAGTACCTTGATTTGCCACCTAGTAATGGGTTGGTCGCCCACCAGATCTACAGCATCAGACTGAGGTCCTTCTGTAGGAAGCTGGCAATCTATAGTCCTAATGTTGTGGAAGGCAGCAGGGACAAACATAGATTCCCCAAGCAGCCATGTGTTATCACTGTACTGAATTAAAGGACCAAAAAGCCTTATTTAGTCATATGTATCAACACAGTATGATTTTAATGCCCTGAATTATCAGCTCTGGTGTATAAAATGGGGAAAACATTGTACAATAGTGATGCAGGATCAAGTTGGGGCCAAATTATCTACCACAACTTGAGAAACTAGCCACCACCAACACTGCTACTGGGGGGGGGGCGCACCCTCGCCAACCTGAAGCCAATTTCCTCATATATTCTGTCCCCTCCTCACTACTACTATTTGTCTTGAAAAGAAAAACACAATTAAAAAAACACCATGTCAAATTAAGGAGATATGTGTTTGTGTGTGCAGTTGGCACAAAGAAATGTATTTCAGGAAAACCAGTCACTGCTCTCAGGGATATCACATCTACTTACAGAGAAAAAGATGTCCTGCTCCCCCATCCCTTGCTCTTTATTTTGCTCATATACTGATGTAAAGTGTTCACCCTAAAATCTTTTTCAAGTGCCATGCCTGAGGAGCAACTTTCATTCCAAATGGCTGAAAAAACAGGATTATCATGTACCACTTTTATATGACTTCTCAATTAGCTGTTTACAGTGGCATGGATGGAATGTCTGTGGCTCCCTAAAAAGTCACGTCAGTACATCTCCTTTCTAACACCTTCATAAGGCCATCTAAATCAGAAAACAGTGAGAAACCTTTTCTGACCCTTCTTCAAGATGGCTGTGAAGCAAATATCAAAAACAAAACAGAGGAAGAAAATCGGGGGGAGGGGAGACGGGAAACTATATGGCCAGGTGAGTGGAGTGAAAAAAGCCCAGTCTTCATTTTGTAGGGTGGCATGTACAAGGTGTGACACCACACAATCTTACGCACATTTACTCGGAAACAAATCCCACTGTGTTCAATGGGGCTTACACTGAGAAAATACACACAGAAGAGCAATCTTAATTAGATTGTACTATTAGTGGACATAAATACATGAAGCTATGTGCCTGTGGGAAAGGCAGTTGTTGTTTTCCGTTTCAGTGTGTGTGTGTGTGTGTGTGTGTGTGCGCGCGCGTGCACACACGCACGTACGCATGAATTGCTACTCTAATCTAAGATAGGGCTACCTGCAATTTGTGTTTGCTCAATAAAAAGATAAACCTACACTACAGTAACTTCTCCTCCCCTGCTTCTTTTGGAAGCATGGAATCATCTGTTGCCATTATAATGAAACAAAACCCATTGCAATGAGTGAGGACTGAGACAGTTCACACTGCGATAACTGAACTTCCAATAATTGTCTCACTAGGAGTTTGATGGGGCAGGCTTTTAACTTAATGGAGTGTAAATGTGCTGTTGACTTTCTCATTTCAAACTGACTTGCAGATGAGAGGATCCATGTTGAGCTCCAAGAAAATCCATAGCCTGTGTTGTAATATCACCTGCCAAAATAACCTCAGCTCGGAATCTGCTAGGAGTAGCCAAGGGGGAAAAATACAGGAAAAAGAAAATGTTTTCTCTCTGATAGAAGTGAAAATAGAATTTCTTATACCTAAAGGATCAAAAATAAGTCACATCATATCGTTTGTTCAATTTCATAGGCCACACATTCGTTTCAGCTTGATTAGCTCAGGCTTTCAGAACTGGGCAATTAATCCACTCGCTTGGAAAACTCCAGCTTGAATAATTCCTTTCTAACAAAAATCCTTCTGTAATTGTAACTTGTAACCTTCATGGGAAACTGGTAACAGTGTACATAGTGTAAAGCATATAATGGATCCTTACATATTATGCATCCCCATGTAGGCATAAATTTGTAGGTCAATTTAACAATAGTTACAAGATATCTAGTCTACTCATGTGTTCATGCTCATACTGAGGAGCAGCTGACATCAATAGTACAACCTGTGACTGAGTACCAGAGTTTACAGCCCAACAACTATTGTCCAAATACAGACCGGAATGAGTTGATATTGCAGAAGGTGGGGTGGGGAACCTTCAGTCTTCCAGATATTTATTTATTTATTTATTTATTTATTTATTTATTTATTTATTGGACTTATATACCTCCCCATAGCGCTACAAGTACTCTCTGGGCAGTTTACAATTTTAATTATACAGGCTACACATTGCCCCCCCAGCAAGCTAGGTACTCATTTTACCGACCTCGGAAGGATGGAAGGCTGAGTCAACCTTGAGCCGGCTACCTGGGATTTGAACCCCAGGTCGTGAGCACAGTTTTTAGCTGCAGTACATTGTTGGAATGCAGCTCATATCATCCTTAATTCTTGATTGTGCTTGCTATAGCTGATGGAAATTGGAACTCAACATGTAAAAGTCCACAAGATCCCCTCTCAAGATCTACAATGGTGCTATGATACACTCTTGATGTTTGGGGAGGACATGTTAAAACTTATCCTGCAACTGCAGGAGTTGCAGCAAGAAGATACAGCTGCAGACGTACTGCAGAGATCTCAAGTGAATTTGGCCTGGGACACAGCATAATTTATCAGTAGTTCTTCTGATTATCCGAACATCACCAGGATATGTGCAAATGTACAGCTCCAGTTGGCACTGAATAGTGACAGTTGCACTGAATGATGAGACAGGGTCTCTGTGTGTGTATAATCCGGCTTTGCTCTAGGTCATGGTAGAACTCACTGCAGGGAATCTAATAGCAGAAGAACACAAATGAGCCCCTGGTGCTCAATTTCTGTTCAGGTTGGGAAGGAATGGGTTCCCAGGGGACATCTCGACCCTGAGGTGGGACAATGTCCCATTTGCCCTTAAGGAGAGAGCCCACTAGCTCACTGAATATGCAAGGATCCTTCCATCATTTCACTTGGCATTGCTGATCACCACCATTCTTTATTGGCATCATCCATCTATTCAACCTATTGGACACAGTTCTTGTGACTAGTCCAAGTACAGTTTCACAAACCAGATTTTAAAATGCTTATGGATTCTGGAGCCCTTTCCACTAATTCTAAACAAGAATTATGTAGGCACTCTCGGGGAGGGGGAGTGTGCTAACCCTGTCCACTCTGTCATCATTTTGCTCATATGAGAAGTGGAGAGCCTCTTGTGTATGTGAAAGCCCTCCACACCAGTGAGAGCCCTGGAAAATGAGGCTTCTCATTCATCACCAAAATTTGATCATAGTCAAAATCTCATCTCCTCGTCTCATAGTTTCTACCCTCCATACTGACCCCTCTGTTTTTTTCCCACTCTGCTAGAAGGACATCTAGGTTAACAACAGGGGGAATATAGTGTGGCTACAGGGAAATTCATGTTCTAAAAACTCTAGCTCTGACAAAGATTCAGTGTCAGTTTTTCTTCTTGAAATAGATCACCTGTAACTTGTTAATTTCACATCTCAGGCTAGGCGACTCCATGAATCCATGGCCAAAGACTCTTACAGTTGTGCAATCATATAGCCGGATATCACATAATCCTCCATTATCCAGCTCTATAATTTCTGGAACCTGACCTTTGAAACAGAAATCAGAAAGTGAACCATATAGAGTTAATATAAAGGCTTTGTGGATAGCAGCCAAGACAAATGTACTCCCTAACAGCTTATTGGAAGGGGCGGGTGGTAGAGGCCACACTGCTGCGATGAGGAAGTTGTTGTTTCCTAGGGAGAAAGAAGTGTTCACATTTGGCTGCAAGTCTGTAGTGGGGCTGAATCTCACTAGCCACTGCATCTCACAGGATTGCCTCCTTTTAGGCAGGCATTTTTCTACTTTGCTGCTTTAGAACCTGGCAGGCAGTGCTACCCACGTATTCTCTTTATTTTAGGGTGCTTTTAGGGTCCTTGTTTCAGTGCTATGGGTCCATGCTGGTCACTGCTGGAAGCTGGGAAGGAATTTTTTCTTCCTACCAGATGGCTATCTAATGGTTGGCATGTTTTTGGGTTTTTTTGCCTTCCCTGGGACACCCCATGTGAAAGCCACTGTAGTGAGTTCTTTACCTCCACCCCTTTGGCAGATTTACCCCAATAGATCCTGCAGAATAAGAAGGATTTTGGACACCCTCCTTCCCTCAAACCTTTTTTTTCCCCTAGGGATACACTTAGGTTCTCAATAAACTTGTTTTCTCTATGTAATGTATATGGTTTAACCTTCTCATGTCTCATCCACAATTATGAAACTAGACCAAGGGCACTAAAGGTACAAAGACTGCTTTCAGACAAAGCTTTTATCCTGTATCTGTAGTGCTCAAACATGGAATTTTAAACAAAGGCATTTCCCATTTTTAACAATGCTCTTTGACCGGTACTTTCAAGAGCACTCCACAATCTCAGCAAAAGAAAAGGAAAACCTTTACCAGTACAGGCTGGAGAGGTAAACTTCTTTCTATATTATACCACTTTGGACTGCAAGTGGGAGGTAACCTTGCTGAGCATTATTTTGTGTAAAACAATTCCCCACATGTAGAAAAACAGATGCCAGAATAGTTCTAGGCTATAGCACTTATGTCTTCATTTTCTGTATGTGGAGAACTTTTTGGCATGCAACCTTGAGAATATCTACCTACAATCTGAATTGCTTTGGTCTAGAAATAAGTTTATTCCCATAGATGAATTGCGAGAACTAATTTCAGAAGTATAATTTCAGAAGTATAATTCACATGATCACCAAGATTCTTTCAAACCACGCATGGATCATATTCACGCAAACCACTCATGCAATCCTAGACCTGATTACCTAGGCGTACAAATAAAAAGTCTGTTATCTAACATGACCAAAAATAACATAAAAGGAAATAAAAGAATCTAGCACAAGAAAAATTGAACAAATACCACTTACCTTCAGGAGATAGCACAGATGTTGAAGACAGTATAACAGAATGGTCTAGGTTAATACAGAGAGATAGAGTAATGACAAGGCTCACTGTGGGGCACCTCTGCCAAAAGTGTGAAGAAGGAACTAATAGTGCGGCTTGACTCACCAGATGACACGCTGCAGTCATAAGAAGCAAAGCCTTGAAAGCAAGCACAGCCCCATTCAACACAATGACCCCTCCCGCTGCAGAGGTTGGGGCACTTCAATGCTAAGAGCAGGTCTTCCATTAATCCTTCATTTCCTTTGATGTGATAATCACCTTCTTCCCAAACTCTCTTTTCACATTCATTTTCCAACAGAGCCAGGCTGGTCTTTGCCCAGCTGAGATCATCCTTCAACTGTAGATCTTTGACACACATAATTACTGTGTCCTCTATTCGATGGCCAAGGAGAGCTTTACAAGTCCTAGCTATGCTGGAATTGGCAATGGTCTCTTGACAGAAGGCCAGGGCATCAGACTCAGTGAGGCCAGAAGGTGTAGGCCACGAAGAAAGGACCTCTTGGTGTGTGTCAGCTGTGTGATCCTCTGGAAAGAAATAGCTAAACCCATCCAAATCTGTTTGGCTTAAGCTCTGGGCAGGAAATACTGAAAGGTACTCATAATAATGCTGGCGCTTTGGACGCTTTCTGACAGAATGTCCCCCGTGGAGCTCCTGACTGTCATAAATGTCAGCGTATCTGTTGCCTTCCAAGCTCTCAAGAGGTTGCATATCAGCTGTAACACCTGCCTTTGAATCTGGAAAGATAACTAGGTCCCTGGAGGATGATGTTTGAAGAACCGTTTGATTAAGAGAAAGCTCTTCTCTGGAGGCAAGAGCAGAGGAGGCTTCTTTGAGTACAGCTCCACGCTTCCTTAAGCCCCTGATATCATCAACTGAGCTAATATACTCAGCAGTAACATCCAGCCCTGGGATCAAAGAAGGCAGCCATGCATTTTGTTCCCTTCTTTTGCAAGACAAAGTGAATCCTGCCTCAGAGTTCAGTTTATTTATTGGCTGATCTGTTCCCACATTTTGAGTGCTACAATGGCAGAAATGTGTTTTCTTGGCTGATGTTGAAAGAGCCGGGGTTTTGTCAAAGAGACTCTCTCCTGGTGAAATCCTGTCAAAGAAAAATAACAGCAAAAACTCACCATGGCTGCTGTTCAAAGACACAATAGGCGCACACTGTGAGAAAAAGGAGAAATGCTGCTCTGGCTACTTTTTTGAAGCCCAAGGAGCCTAAAAAAGTTACTTTTATAAATCATCATTCCCAGAATCCCCCAGCCATTAGGTTTTCTAGAGACTTTTCCCAAAATCAAAATATGACTTAAATCTTTGACGACAGAAAATCTTAAGGGTAAAAGTGGCAAACCAACATCCAACTAGTCAGCCCCATTTTATTCTTTAAAGTAGGTAAGATGATCTCATCACTGGCCAAAGACGTAAGGAATTTCATAGCTGAATCCAGTTTGCTCCAGCACTCGCCCTATGGTGCCTTTCCTCTATACACAGATACTGGCCAAAATCCTCGTGCATAGATATACAAACAGTACAAGTTTTGAAGAAAAGTTGGCTCAAGTTAAGAAACCATTGTGTTATCTACTGTGTGCTGAGTCAAGTGAGTCTGTATGCAATAGATACTGTCTACAGAAATTTCTTAACTTAAAGCAATTCATCTCCAAAGGTTGTGCTGTTTGTGTTACACAGGTGTAACTAGGCAAAAGGCCATCATTTCATCATTTCTTTGTATACCATGCTGTCTTTCCAAATGTTATATGGTAAGGATGGATTTAGTTTTTAACACACGCATCACTGTGACAGATACAGCCTGGAACACAAAAAGCCCGTCTTCTTTTTTTAGAGGCAGAAATTAAAAGATCAGAAGTATTAAGTTATGAAGCTACAAACAATAATATAGACACAAGGAAATAAAATTTAAACGGATAGATATGTTATCTTAAGCAGTACTGTTAATAACATTTAAATTATATTATGGCATTGGGTATTCTGAATTTAGAAAAGTTACTTTTCTCTCATTATATCCACTTCTAGTTATTATTTTCATAATTTACTTTCAGTGCATGGAGCAAGGCCATTTTTGTACAAGAATCAGATATAGGATAAACTGAACTCTGCTCTCTGAAGCACAATGTGATTTGATATTAAACTAAAAATGTATGAATAGTTTTCACAGCATGCAGTGATTTACTGTTTTCATTTTGTTTTTCTTGTGAAGTCTCTGTCTTGTAGGTCAGGATGAAAGCAATAACTTGCCTAAAGTCACTGGCTGAACCTCACTGATTAGGTCCGCAATCCTCAACACACCAGCCACTGAGAAACTCCTATACAACTCAGTGGGTTTTACTTTTGAGTAAACATACAGAGAATTGCAGTGTACATGGAAGAAGTGACATCTAAATTTAATATTCTGCTAATAAGATATGATTTTAAAAGCACAGTGCATTGATAAACCTGTTAAAGTAATCCTTACCTCCATTCACTAATAAAAGACAAATATGCATCATCTCCGCTTGCTATTTCAGTGCCATCCACATCATGATAATCATTCTCCACAATGCCGTCAAATGTCCCACAAAGTCCCAAAGTATGCTTATAATCTGAACTGGGAGCTCTGAGAGTTAGACTCATTCCCCACTCACTCACATCAGCTCGAATGAAAGCTCCAGAAGAAAATGAGATCTAGAAACAAAATGGTATCAAAAGGTCAACAAGAAAATACATTAGAAGTGGGCTTAAGACATACACTTTCTAAGGAAAGCTATCTCTTTCAATAAGTACACTTTCTTTGCTTTCTCAAATAACAGGTGATTGATGTTTTGAGGGAAATTAATCACCAACATTTTTTTCAATTGAGGCTAGTGAGAATTGTCTGTTTAAAAGAAACATGTTGAATATGCTAAAGAACAAGTTTATTTCTTAACAGCCTCATAAGGCTTTTCCTTTACTCCTGGATCGTCTCAAAAAGAGAACTGTGACTTGGTTTCTTCAAACAATATTGCTTTAAAATAAACTAGGGATCCTAGACTTGTTCCTTCCTCATATCGGTTGGACGTCTGGACTGCAAGTTTAATCAACAATATCAGGGAAAGGCATGTAAAACTGGATGGAATGTAGAAAGATACATTTAATGTCTTTCATACCAGCAGCTTCATTAGGGAATTTCTCTGGTCACCACCCTCTCTAACCTCCAGACACTCGAAGTGCTCTGAGGTCACCAAGGCATCATACCATTCCTCCCTTTGGACCCTGTCCCTGACACTGGGATTCTGGAGGCAATCTCTAGCACACTCAACCCACACTCTTATTATGGGTGATTCCACAGAGCCTTGTCTCTCACCAAAGGCATGTGTTCCCATTCATTTCACCATGTCTGCTCTGAAGTGGTGGGCCAAACAGCTGACTCTGCTGTTTTATCCTCAACCTTATGGAAGAAGGTCCTGAGGTAGGAGGAAGAGCTGATCCTAATCAGTTGAGATGTTCCATCAGTAGCCAGCACAGTCTCAAGTCATTGGGAAGCAGCATCCTCACTAGGAAGGCAGGCACTTCTATTGACCCATCTGCCAGCACCCATTATGGGTAAGATGCTGCTTTATGAAGACAATGGCAGGAAAGTGAGGTGCTTACTTCCTTATTCAAAGGTTTTATTTGCCACAATGGCACTTTCTGGAGGAGGGGGGGAGGGGCATGCAGCAGAAAACTGTCATAGACAAATCTGCCCGCACAGTCCAAATCTCCTCAGTTCACAGATGCTACATTTAAAATGCTAAAAGCTGCTCCAGGGGCAATGTTTTGTTTAAAGTAACATCTCGTTTGGCCCTATGATGCCCCCAGAATTATCCAAGAGGAGATACCTTCTGTGTTTTTGCTAAATGACTATCAAATCACCTATTGATTTATGCAACATGGTACTTTATGAAAAATGTTCTGGTAATTGTAGAAATGTGCCAGTGTAATGGATGGCTTTGCTGGCTGAATATTTCAGTGGTTTATGTTTCTGGACATGGAGCCAGAGGTTTAGAGTTCAATTCCCCACTGTGCATCGAAGAACAGCCAGCATGGTTTTTGCTAAATGACTATCAAATCACCTATTGATTTATGCAACATGGTACTTTATGAAAAATGTTCTGGTAATTGTAGAAATGTGCCAGTGTAATGGATGGCTTTGCTGGCTGAATATTTCAGTGGTTTATGTTTCTGGACATGGAGCCAGAGGTTTAGAGTTCAATTCCCCACTGTGCATCGAAGAACAGCCAGCGTGGGCAACCTTGGAAAAGCTGTACAGTCCCAGGATGCCCCCAGAGAAAGGGAATGGTAGACCACCTCTCAATATTCTCTACCTGGTCCTAGAAAATCTTGAAAAGGATTGTCACAAGTCAGAATTGACTAGATGGCACATGAAAAGGAAAAGGTGGATGGCTTTTGGAGCTTTATGAATGATGCAATTGTTCACATTAGCTTGAAGTGGTCAGTATCTCTTGAATAAGATCCCATTTCAGATAAACTAATAGGAAGTGAAACACTAAAGAAAGAAATCAATGCCAGGCATCACTATAAGGTGAAGATTGCTCTATTTACTCTGCCATTATCAGTCCAAATGAGCTCATGCTTAAAATTATGGCTTATGTCTTGGCCAGAGCTCCTTCCCTTTAAAAGTGTCCAGTCTGAAGCACCTTCTAACTTGTAAAATGGGGAGAGAACATTTTTCAACAGAAAGAGAGAAAAATAATTTTTTGCAATTTTGATACTAGAAAGTAAAGGAATTGAGACCATGACTGATTAACTATGGCTTACTTTTACCTGTATAAGCCTCAGGCACAGGCATGCTCTACTTCTCCCTCCTTTTCTGTTGCAGCTGCAAGGATGAAATCAGAAGCATTGCTTCCACTTTCAGTTAATCATGGTTTCATAGTATGTTTGAACTACAATTAATCTTTGCTATATTTTCTTGGAAGAAGACAGCTTCATCATCCAGGGTTGGTGTATGTCAGTAAAACTTGTTATTAAGGCTAACTATACTTTGTTGTCCAGGTTCAGATATAACACTAAGTTGCAATTACTAAAGCCTATTTTAAGTAATTTAAGTTAAGGTTTCCACAACCATGCCAGAGAAGTAAGGGAAGAAGGAGCACATGAGTTTGCTCAGTCTTGTTCTCATCATTGTTGTTTAGTCGTTAAGTTGTGTCCGACTTTTTGTGACTCCATGGACCAGAGCACGCCAGGCCCTCCTGTCTTCCACTGCCGTTCTCATCATAATAAACCATAATTTGACCTTATGTTTGAGTATAGCCCTTTTATATGCAAAAACTGACAGAAGCTCTTCTTGAGGTAAATAGCAATACAGCCAACAGAAAAATGATACACACCGTGACTTTTCTTCCTAAATACGATTCAGTGATCCTGACATTGTTGTCTGCTGGATTTCTGCTCTTTACTGATAAGTGCGGCTGTGAGTCATGCAGCTGGCCACTGCACATGTCAAAGGCTATTACATCGCCCCCTTCTCTAGCAACAAACCCACAGTTACATGATGCTGGGTAATAAAGGCTGCCACAATCCCACTGGCGCACATGGACTTCAAAATCACGGGCAGTACTTCTGTATAACACAAAGGTTCCTGTTTTAAAATTGTCGTACATTCTAGAAGAAAAGGGGGAAAATACATTAAATCATTTTTATTTATAATTTTTCAAAAAACTTTGTTTTAATGCAGTGTAAGTTGGTCCATATGCATTGCACGTTCCATATGCGTTGCCTCCGACGGATTTTTGGCATCACCTGGCAGGACAAAGTCCCAAACAGAGTAGTCCTAGAACGAGCTGGAATTTTCAGCATGAATACATTGCTGAAACAGCGATGTCTACGTTGGCTTGGGCACGTCGTGAGAATGGCTAATGGTCGGATTCCAAAGGACCTCCTGTATGGAGAATTAGTGCAGGGAAATCGCCCCAGAGGGAGACCACAGCTGCGATACAAGGACGTCTGCAAGCGAGATCTGAAGGCCTTAGGAATAGACCTCAACAGATGGGAAACCCTGACATCTGAGCGTTCAGCCTGGAGGCAGGCACTGCATCGTGGCCTCTCCCAATTTGAAGCGACCCTTGCCCAGCAGGCCGAGGCAAAGAGGAAATCACAAAAGCAGCAAAACCAGGGAGCTGGACAGGGGACAGATTGGATTTGTCTTCAGTGTGGAAGGGATTGTCACTCTCGAATTGGCCTCCTCAGCCACACTAGACGCTGTTCCAAGTCCTCCATACAGAGCACGCTACCATAGTCTTTCGAGACTGAAGGATGCCTAACTAACTAAGTTGGTCAACTGTTGTCATTTTCATCCCTTTTTGTTTTTGTTTTCTGTTATTCCAAAGCTTTTATTACCATATCTTATGTACATTTACTGAGAAATAGGCTCCACTGCATTCAATTAGTTTTACTCCCAGGTCAGGGTGAATTAGATCTCAGTCTCTATAAGCAGGGTCAAATTACATGTGACTGAGGGTCAAATTAGATAAAATGCTGAGCTCAAAATTATTAGGTGATACACATTTTCTTTCCAGCAATGTGATTCCTTTAGAACAAGGGTCCCCAAGCCCTGGTCCGTGGCCTTGCCAGGACCAGGCTGCGGAGAAAAATCTCCTGCCCCCCCGCATGCGCAGATGCATTCACGCCCTTCCCATGCAACCATGGCTCCTCCCACACATGCATGGATATACACACACAGCCCCTAACATGCAGACATGGCCCCTCTCCCGTCTGCATGGCCCCTCCCACTAACACACAGACACATGCATGACCCCCTCCCCCACCCACATGGATGCACACACAGCCCGTCCCATGCAGACACAGACACACTCCCCCACCGCCTGCATGCTAAATCAGTCTGTAGAGGCAAAAAGGTTGGGGACCACTGCATTGTGCCTGAGCAATCAGACTTGCAAATTAAGTTCATGTTTATATCCTGATGACTAATAATAATAATAATAATAATAATAATAATAATAATAATAATAATAATAATAATAATAATAATAATAATAATAATAATAATAATAATAATAATAAAAACAAGGTAATTTGCAAAATATGTAGATGGACAAAACTCATGTTGGGACAAGGAATTATCTTATGGCAAGAGCACCGCTTCTAGATGTGGAGATGACAATCTCATCTGCTTTGACCATGGATAAAACTCATACTTTGTCTTCAATATTTTTGCTTGTTTTCAATTTGCAAAAGTTAACTAAATTGAATTGAAGTATCAGTACTGTACATGTAGGCAGGGCCAGAAACATTTTGCTAAGTTAGGGGGAGATCTCCTCAACATATAAAGATCAATAGCATACTACATGTGACTGAACATCAGATACAGTATCAACGGAAGTTGTTTTGAAACTTTCATTTTACTTTTTAGATGCAGAAGAAAGGGTCCAGATTTTACTGGGAAGCAGAGGCATGGGAACAGACGTTTCTCATGCATGTCCTAATTGCGAGCAGAATCATGTTCCTTCCAGCTGCCATGTTTTTCAGGCTCTCAGGAGCAGCATGCATAAATATGTGTATGGTACTCCGGGGAGGTATGCACACAGATGCCTTCCTTTCTATTAAACCACTTTCCTTTTACCTTACAATGTCCAGATGTACTAGACTACAGTGACTATACTGACTAGAATGATAGGAGTTGCAATCTGACACATCTGGAGAGTGCTAGAAGGCAATGGGATATATAGTCCAACATATTTGGATGCACCAGGTTGTAAAAGACTGTTACCTTGCTACGTTCTGAAATTTGTTTGCTCTAAGAGAACTAAGAAGGAGGTTAGTACCACTTTCTGCTGTTGTTCTAATTCCTCAAGATGTTGATGCTCCCCTTGCTCTTTAAATAAGCCATGAACAGAAGAAGGGGTAGCAATATATGTCATGTGAACATATGGAAGATTTCCTTTTCTTTATATGGGAAGGCTCTATGATAAAGCAGGAAAAGAACACCACTTGGCTGCAAAAATTACCATTAAGTCAGGCTGCACATAGCAATATGCATTTCATGTAGTTGCTAGGAGACCAGGCTCAACAGAATCTATCACTGTCTTTTGGCCTAGTCAACATTCTCAACAATACGGGTTTCAATCAGTACCTACTGTCACTGGCTATGCATTGAGGTCATCAAGTATTCCATGTAACCATTGCTGTACTCTAGGGGTGCATTCTATAGTACAGTTCAAAAGGAACTATTTTCACTGGCTCTGTTTCACTAGTACAAAGGGAATGAAAACAGTTTTCCTTTAGAAACATATCAGCTAGCATTATTATGCTGAAGCATATGCTAAGTAAAAGGCTTCTTTCTTTTATTTTGTGATTCAGTTAAGCCTAATGGGTGAAAACAACAGATACCTTTAATAATACGAGTGCAAAGTTATAAATTCTCTTTAAAAGAAAAACACACAACAGTAGGAAATCTGTGCATTACCTTCCATCAAATGTGATGATATGAGGGTCAGTAAAAGAGTAGCAGTAGGCAGAGGGGAGATCCTTCACAGTAATCTTTGCGGGGAAAATAGAATAAAGACATTCACAGTTAGTCATCACTGATAAATCTGATGTTGAGGAGTCCTTAAGATAATTGCTAATAGCAGATCTTGATTTATAAGCATTTTCTCAGGCTACAGTCCTAAACCTACTTACTTGAATTTATTGGGGCCTACTTCTGAGCAGACATGTCTAGAATTGCACTGTCCATATGTTTTTGAGGACACGTTAACCATTACTACTGTTGCCTTATGCTTGCAAATGAAACCTCTGCTGAGGCAATAACAAAATATAGGAAGCTTATTTGCAAATTATGAAAGGTACTGAAAAGCTCCTGCCATGACATTTTCAATACTTAGGGAAATCTATCTTCTAATGAAGGGCTACATGTGACAGATATTTTGCATGTACTCTCATATATCTATTAATACTTCAGGGCTTCTAATAGCATAATTGGGCAACCACACTAAAGGTGGACTCAGTGAATTCAAAGCAAAAATGATAACAGTAATCTCCATCATCATAATTATTATATTTATTTAAAATATTTGCAGTTGTCATTCAATTAAGATTACATATATATATATTTAAAATGATACATAGCTAGAACAGGACATATCTGAGCGCACATTGTACTGCTGGTTCATTCAGGCTTCGTATTAGCCTGTATATGGATGGGAAACTAGCTGGGAAACCAATGGATGCTACTCAAAGTGAGATATAAATGAATTTAGGAATATAAATAAATACATGTGGGAAAACCAGCACGTTTGCATCAAATAGTGAGTTTGCATCAACTAGTTATTGGTTTTGTCCCCTTGTTTTGTTTTCTGTTCTCTTAGTGAAACTGGAAGGAACAAGTTCCTACCTTAATGCCTTCCGGCATATAACCATTCCACAGAAAATTGTCACTGACTACAGGTTCCACCACAATCCGGGTCCTTCTGTCTCCATTCCGAGTGAAATCAGGCATAGCAGTATAGTGGATGCTGGCCTGGCTACATGTTCCATTGAGGCACGACTGCTGAAGAAGGTCCACATGGCAAGAAGAAAGTGCCAGGTTCGAACTGTCATGATCTTCCCCTGTTCCAATGCAGGCAGACCATTAGTATAATTTCTGTTTTAACAAATGTCAGGCGTAAATGTACACGTTTTAGGGGATTTTTTTAAAAAAATAGGATCACAAGGTTCCAAGTGACAAGAAAGCAAGACCAGATTAGGATATTTTGCTACCCAAGACAAAGAACAAGACACAAGCTTCTTATCCTCTGTACGGAAGCTGACAAGAAGGTCCGTTCCAGATCACTTTAAAACCATGCTAGGGGTATGGGAGTGTTTTTCTCTACACCTGAAAGCGGCAGACATAGTTAACATAGGGCAAGACACACAGCACTGGCAATTCGGTATTTCACTATTCTCCCTGCCTCTAAACATCACCTGTAGAGATGGGGACAAAGTGCCGAAAGGGCACTTCGTCTTGGTTTGTGGCTCGTCAAACCTGATGACCTACGAACCATGAATTGCTCCCCCCCCAAGTGACCTGACGAACAACAAATCAATTCATCATTCCTCAGGTCTTTTTTTTTCTTTCCCTCCTCTTGCTATGAGGGAAAGCAGGGATCAAAGCACTCAGGCAGCCGCAGCTGTGGGATTGCATTGATCCATTTCCCCCTCCTCTTGTTAAGTTTCATGGGGCTTAGCAAGGAGAGGGAAAGCAGGAATCAAAGCAATCACGTAGTGCTTTGATCCTTTTCAGAGGGAAAGCAGGAATCAAAGCAATCACATAGTGCTTTGATCCTTTTTTTGCTCCTCTTTTCCCCTCCTCATTTTTATATGTGTCCTCTTATCTAATCACCTGTCTAATATGGCTAACTCACTCTACCTAATGGAAGTGATCACACTGCTAGGCTGGCAAGAGGTCTTGGTTCCCACTGAATCTTTCTATTCTCTTGTTCCTCCCTCCTTAAATTATATCCCATTTTTCAGATTAGAATATAAACAATGGAAACAAACAAAAAAAATTTAAAAAAGAAATTAAGACATGACAGCTGACTGTACATGCATGGAGCACAAAAAGCAATGCCATTAACTCTGTTTCATGATCCAAAGAACATGCTGCAAAGCAAGGTAAAAAATCTCCACCACTGCCAAGGAAATTGCCACATATCTCAGTGGTAGAGCATTTGTTTGCATGCAGAAGGTTCCAGGTTCAATTCCCAGCATGTCCAGGAAGGCCTACTAAAGAATGTTGACTGAAACCCTGAAGAACTACTGCTAGTTGGAGTTGGTAACACTGGGCTAGATGGACCAACAGTAGAGATGGGAGTATTCATATTTATAGATGAATATCCCTGCACAGCTGGAGTTAGTGAGGATCTGACCCCTGAGGCCAGCCTATCCACTCACGTGTCCGCTACTGCTGCTGGCCCCACTCATCCTTCCAATCGCTCCCAATCGCTGTTCTCTTCCCAGTCATCTAGCCACTCTAGAAGAGGGAGGATGAGTCTCCCTGCAAGGCTACCAAGTGGCTAGCTGAGCAGCACTCCAGAGTGATTGGAAGGAAGAGAGGGGCTGCTGCCGCCAGCAGATGTGTGAGTGGATGGTCCCGCCCCAGGGGACAGACCCTTGTTAACTCCAGCTGCATGGGGATATTCATATTCGTATATGAATATCCCCATTTCTAACCAAGAGTCACAATCAGTGTATGTTCCTATGCTTTTAATAGACCTAAAAGTTATTAATTTTAGTCATCACTGAGGGTCAAAATACAGTGGTACCTCAACTTACGAACTTAATCTGTATTGGAACGGCGTTCGTATATCGAAAAGTTCGTAAGTCGAGGCAAACTTTTCCATAGGAATGCATTGAAAACTATTTAATCCGTACCGGCTGTTTTTTGTTCTTATGTCGAGGCGTTGTTCGTAAGTAGAGCCATTGGTTCCCATAGGCAAAGCCATACTCTACCACTAGGGGGAGATTTTTAAATTTTTTTTTTCTTCTTTTGACCTAAGATGAACTTAGGTAAAAAAAAAAAGGGCAGGAAAGTTTTATTTTTTGTTCGTAAGTCGAAGCAACATTTTGCGAATGGAGCCGTTCGTAATTCGAAACGTTCGCAAGTGGAGACGTTCGTAAGTCGAGGTACCATTGTATAAATTACAGTCAACCCAGGAGCAGAGCTGAAATCATTTTAGTTTTCCACAAAACATAGTTGAGGAACACTTCCATAGCTGTAAAATCAGACTGGAAAGCAAAGAATTGATTTATGGCCTGATGACTACTAATCACAAAACAAAGCCAGCAAATCTGCAAGGTGTGAGAGATAAGAACAGTTCCACAATCACACTTAATGAATTCCCTCTTCTAACAATAGGTTGTCTGTAATGTTAACTTTGGCTCTGAGAATGAAGCAAAATCAAGCCTCCCTGCCTTTCTCAAAAAATTCCATATCACCTAAAATACAATTGCAGAAGGATGTAGCAGAATGTACCGTACTCCTTCAGGCAACAGGCAGGGTATGGTCATTTTATTAATTAAGTAAAATCAAAGCACACATCCTGCCTGCTAGTAACAAAATTAATGTATGAAGGGAGGTTCCAGCTCAGCTTGTGTCCTCCTGTGTCAGCTTGTTTTTAGTGAAAGATAACACTCAAGCATGATTCCTTTGGCTGTAGTCTGAGATGATACAGCCATTTTTAACCATTTCTGAACTCTGTCACCTCATTCTGTTGTGTATATACAGCAGTCCTCAGATGTCTCAAAGGAAGAGAAAATAACTTCAATTCTCAGGGGTGGGAATTGAACAATTGCCTAATTCTAATATTCCCAAACAAAACGCTATCCTATAATACCAGTCCATAAAATAGCTCACCTCTATTTAGAAAGCACTCCTGCTAACCTAGCAGTTCGAAAGCATGCAAATACAAGTAGATAAATAGGTACCACCACGGTGGGAAGGTAACGGCATTCCATGTCTAGTCAAGCTGGCCACGTGACCACGGAAACTGTCTGCGAACAAAACGCAGGCTCTATGGCTTGGAAACGGGGATGAGCAGCATGCCCTAGAGTCGGACACCACTGGACTAAATTTCAAGGGGAACTTTTACCTTTATTTAGAAAGCAGCACATTTTTTAATATCTTAGCAGTTGTACAACAACAACCTAGATGCACAAAATGGCTGGGTATGGAGGTAATGGTATGCCAAGGCGGAAACTATGCTTCTGAGAAAAAAAAGGTAGCAACTTGACAGTGACTCTGGCATACCATGGGATGCCAACCATACTGTAACTCTTTTCTACTCCTTTTTTTCCAGATGTACCACATTCTGATTCACCCTTTTTTTTTACCCACCTCATTGAGTAATTGGACTATCTCCACAAGTTTGTCGGCACAATGGTTAAACTGCTGTCCTGCAGCCAAAACTGTGTTCACAACCTGGGGTCCAATCCCATGTAGCCGGCTCAATGTTGACTCAGGCTTCTATCCTTCTGAGGTCAGTAAAATGAGTACCCAGTTTACTGAGGAGGGGGGCCCTATGTAGCCTACATAATTAACCTGTAAACCACCCAGAGCATGCTTGATGCACTATGAGGCGGTATATACCGGTAAGTAGCGGGCTAAACTGCAGAAGCCTCTGTGTGCTGCAGGGTCAGAAGACCAGCAGTTGTAAGATCGAATCCATGCGACGGAGTGAGCTCCCGTCGCTTTGTCCCAGCTCCTCGCCAACCTAGCAGTTTGAAAGCATGTAAATGCGAGTAGATAAATAGGTTCCATCTCGGTGGAAAGGTAAACAGCGTTCTGAATCTAAGTCGCACTGGCCACGTGACAACGGAAACTGTCTTTGGACAAACGCTGGCTTTATGGCTTGGAAACGGGGATGAGCACCGCCCTCTAGAGTCGAACACGACTGACTAAAATGTCAAGGGGAACCTTTACCTTTAGCATGCTTTGCTTTTTCTTACTGGACCTTTGCAGTAATCTGGTCAGACAACAGATCAAAACAAAGTAATGTGCTGCAAGCAGGTTCATGTTTGTCTGCAGCTAACTTGCAGTTAGTATCTTTTCTCCATATGCCTGCAAAAGTATAGTTCCAGCCCAAGCTGCAGTTTGTCCTATTCTGGCTAGCTGTCACCAAGAAACCATACTTGGTTACTCAGTGGTGAACCCCAATTAGAAGCCATGTTTTGTTGTTGGCAGGCAAATTTTGGTTTATTTGGACTGAATGTACCCTTGAACCCCAATCAACTTCCCATGAAACAGGAGCAAATAAAGAGAGGGAAACTGAAATAGACCAGAAATGGTTAACGAACTGTAGCTTGTCTGATCCTTTGCAATTCGTCTGATCATCTGATGGCTAAACCAACACACTGAGGTTAACATAAACTACTTAAACTTCGGCTTATGATTTGCAGTATGCAAACACAGTAAACAATGACATTTTGGAGTGCATTTATTGTTACCATTTGCTGATTTTTAAACTTAAAATACAAACACTTCTATTAATATTTCTCTACACAAAACATTTACTTATGTTTCCTTCTATTGAAGGCTGTATCAATTCTTTTACTTGACAAGGCTTTCAATAGCATACTTACAGTGCCAATATATGCTAGACTGAGGCATATACGAAAACATACAATCTCATTTCATCCCTACAGGAATGTTGAGTGAAAAAGAGGTCTAAAATTAAAAATTCAAAGCAAAAACCAATATTTTTTTTAAATTAAAGCAGAAATTACCTTCTTCTATCGTATATAATTTTAATGAGATTTTGCAGTCATTTTTCAGCTGACTAGCTCCAGGACAAGGAATGGGAATTTTGCTCTTGATTGTCAGTTTGTGTTCCTTTCCATCTTCTGATATATTATCTGCCTCAGGATGCAGCTGGATATTAAGAGAAATGCTAAGAATGCAAGACATCTATGTGGAATTATCTCATTGCATGAATTCATTATAGTCTCAGAAAAATGTTTAAAATAATTGAAAGGGAAAATTGTCTTTACCGTTGTTAAAGAAAAAAAATAGCAAGTGACTCAGATGAAAACCTTGCCCTGCCCAGGACAAAAATGTCCTTACAATTATTTTTGTAGGAAAAATACCCCAATATAGAGGGAATGTGAGACATTCAGGAATGGTTTCTGTCCTGTTCTTATTTTTTTTCCAAACATGGGGTCTTCCCAAAGAGTTTCTATCAAAGGCTGGTTTACAAAAAAGTATTGAAAAGGCAGCAAAGATTTACAAAGGATGAAATGTACAGATGAAATGGCTGCACTTAGTTCCCAATGAAATCATTAGGACTTAATAAACTACTACTTTTCACACTGTTGTAAATGGTATCTTAAAATGATAAAGATGGATATCTGTAGAAGTTTTTAGAAGAGATGCCTTCTTGATTGGTAAAAGATATTACTTTGTCATAATATGTGATTTTCCTCATCTGCCCACTGTGCTTTCCTATTTATCACTGTGCTTTCCTATTTATCAATGGGAAGTAAAGACAAGCTTAATTTGTAGATCTGATGCTGGGGCATATTGGGGGAAATGAAACAGTATGGAAAAAGCATCCCCTCAAGATCAAAATCTAATTGTTAGACCTAACTAGAGCAGGCCAATTGAATCAATTGTTGAATGGTAAATGAACGTACATGTAAGTCTCTTTAATATAGTGAGTTTAGTCTGCTTGGGGTGACTTACTGATTTTAAGGATCAGATTGTTATACCAAATGAAATTGAAGAAGAACATGGCAGATTGATCATCTTATCCCTGCCTATCATGTGAATCAGGGCAATAAGTGTTTGCGGGGGGGGGGCAGGGAAATTAAGTGTTCTGGGACCCAGAAGATCCAAAACTAGGCTTTGCCCCCCACTGCACAATGCATCCAACCTGACCAAGTCTTGTACTTGCTACTATCAATGGTAGCTTTCCACGCAAGAAAGTGTCTGAAAATAGAACTAGGCCATAAGACTCCTCTACTGAGCTGCAGATCTGTAGGTTAACATTGCTTTGCAAATCTAGATTTTAAAAAATACAGGTATGTCAAGTGCCCACCATTTATTATTTTTAAAAGATGCTATGCCACTTATTTTAATATATACAACAGAAAAAATCTCTGACTTAGCAAAAATTGGCAGCACTGCTTTTTACAATCCTTGCACTCTTACACAGATACAAGCAGAAAAGTCACTATTATTGCAGAATGTATTTTTTTTAAATCATACCTTAATTCCTGCAAAAAATTCCATGCTGTCAATGAATGAACTTTGCATTTCTGGTTTCTCTAAGAAAAAGGTGGAACTGCTACAGAAGATCTATGAAAAAAACATGACAATAATCCATTAAAGGACAAAGAATAACGAAAATTTTTTTATTTGGATCAAATAATACCATACATCTCAAAAAGGGGCTGTGATCCACTTCTCCCCACTGTTGATTTATTCTGCATTAAGGGACAGATGGCTGTAAGTCTTAATGCAGTATACTGTATATTTTTATTTTAGAAAACAAAGAGGAGAGATCAGATGTTTCATTTTAACTGACTAATGTTTAAACGTTGAGTTTGAAATTTTTTTGTTATGCATGTCTCCTCCTCAAAGGGAGCAAAAGGAAGGGCAAATACAGTAACCTAGGATATGTTTTTGAATGTGATTTTCCTATAACTGTAACATAGATAATACCATCTTTTATTTATGAAAAACCTTGTACAAAACATTTTGTACAGCTCAGATGTGGCTTGCAAGGCACTTCTTCAGCTCTTCCATTTTTGCAGTTTGGGATGTTGATCAAGCCGCTATTAGGTCAGCAAACATAACTGGTATGCTGTATTCACCTTAATGGTTTCCACATTCTACAGACTTGACATAGGTACGATCTTGTTAAACCCAAGCAGCAAGGGAGTGGGGAATCCATATATTATTATTTCTCAGAAGCCAAGACATGTTGGCCCCAAGACAAGTTCATATTCAGTATAAAACAGGGACTGAAAATCAATCTGTTACATCACAGTTTCTTTCTGCCCTTCCTTCAAGGAACTCAAGGCAACACTGACAATACCCTGACCTCTTTTTTCTTTTCTTTTGGGAGGTAGTTTAGGCAGAGAGCCTATCAACAAGTTGCACATTAAACTGGAGGCTGAGTGAAAATTTGAACCAATATTTCCTCCAGCAAAAGTACTGGCTTCAATCCAGCTGATAGCTTCCCTAATTAGAGTAGAGCCATTCAGCAGGTGATTCAATGGTAGTAAGTCATAACTAGAATAGATCCATGAATCAATAGGACTTATAGACAGATTGATGCATTAAATCCCCACTGATTCAATTGTTCTACTCTAGCTGTGATTTACTACTGAATTTCATCCACCAGGACTTTATTTAAGACTTATACCCTATAGCAACATATTCTATCGTTTCTCAAGCTGTAGAAAATGGCCTAAATATAAATTCCTTAACTCATATGGAGTAGATGCATAGAATTAGCTGCCAAATGGTGACTTAATACTTATATAAATACTAGTGCTTCAATGGGTCTTCTCTAGTTGGGACTACCAACTGAATTCAATAGTCCAAAGAGGTGAGCCTGTCATCCAAGATGTGGAGGGTACTCAGTTTGAAGAGGTGAAGTGACTGCCTTCCAGATCACACAATGCTGGTACCATCCAACAATGCATGATGGGGAACCAAGTTGCTCTCAATTAGTATTTTTGGAACAGTGTTGAGAACCATGTTATGAGTTTGGTGCAGGGTTGATAAAATGTTTCTTTTGCCAATATGAAAACAGACATGCAGCAAACAAATTAAATTGTTTAAAGGGATACTGCCATCACTGCCTCCATTGCAACAATATTATCTCAAGACCTGAGCCTGTCTGACTCTTGCACACATGCACACCAATAACAGGAAGAATGTAAGAGATAATGACAGTATTTCTTCTAAGAGAATTCTTTATGAAGATGTTTGTACGCAGTTTTTCATCTTTTGGTGCAGAACTCTTTCCTGAATAATTAACTTTCTGTACTTGTGATTAAAAGATCACTGTCAAATTTTTACGCATGTATGGAAACAAAAAACAATAATTATGACATTTAAACATACCCTGTCTCCAAGCCTAAGGTTTATACCATCTAGTTCTAAAAGTGAGAAAGCTTGAACAGTTGTCTCTTGTTTTAGTTCCTCTTTGATGCCTTCAGGAGACAGTCTGGACCAAGCCACAATAAAGCCCACAGAAGCGTTTGCAGATGGAAAATCAAAGGTGCATTTTAAGAAAATGTTGCCATCAAGGAACTCCGTCTCAATTTCAGGTGTGCTTGGAGGAGATGGTAAAGGAAGTGGCAAGGGCAGATGAGTCAATAAGCCTAGCCCCCCCACCCAAAAAAAAGAGAGAAAGGAAAGGAAAGGAGAACCAAGTTACTGCTATTTAGGAAATAAAAAGCAATACAAACCATAAACATTATGCTTAACTCTTATCCATTCAGAGCTCTTTAAAGGACCAGTGAGATAGAAAAAAATAAAAATAAAAGAAGAGTAACTATAATGATGATGATTAATAAAAAAATAAACAAAACCAAAAATGGTTACAAACAGGATCCCAGAAGCAAATATCAAGCAAAATAGTGATATTTTCTGCAAACAATTTTAAATATAAAAGACAAAGTATCTTGTGGCAACTTAAAGATCAAAAAAACTAAGTTTCATGGCCCCCTAATGAAAGCCATGTTGATTCAGACTTTTGGAAACTGAAGTCCAAAATGCATGGAAGGCCAGCGTCTCTATGCCTTGTGCTTATCCCCACGAGACTTTTGGAAACTGAAGTCCAAAATGCAGCCAGCGTCTCTATGCCTTGTTTTTATCCCCCCAAGAGATCACAATAGTGATCCACCCCAGAAATGCATTATTCTCATCATCATCAACAACAATTACATTTAGATGACTATTGTTGTTGTTGTTCAGAAAATTGCATCATCATCATCATCATCATCATCATCATCATCATCATTATTATTATTATTATTATTATTATTATTATTATTATTATTATTATTAAGGGACAAATATTTAACGAATCAGCTATTTTCGTTGAGAAAGCTGATCCGTTTTTATATTTGTCCCCGTCTTTAGTTACAGCAACAACAGACAGCTTGTATTTCTTGCTTTGGTCTTGGGGCTTATGTGAGCAGCATGCATAGAGACTGATTGTGGACATGTTGCAGCTGAGTCATATGACCCCAGAGACTGAAGGAGGAATTCTTTAGTAACTAGCAATCTTCCTCTACCTGTGATATAACTGTTGCTTCACAATTGCATTTTGGTCAGTAGCAGGTGGGAAAGAGCCATTCCACAGAGTAAGAGAATGGAAATTTACCATTAAATATTGACTTGTACTCTACCACCCCAAATACTGTACACCCCTTTTAAGTTTTGTGATTTTTGTATCTTTTTCATTGTCTGCCAGATTCACATTCTTTCAGCAACAATTAACCAGTGTTCACTGGCATACTTGCCCTTTGACAGTAAATCACAAAAACAAAACAAAACTGTCTTATTGCAGCTTCAGAAAACAGCCAATAATATCCAGGCAGAAGTGTAATTCATTTACAAAAATAAAAATCAGAGGCATTACCTAGATTAACTCACTGGTTCATTTCTATAAATGCAAAAAAATAAACAAAGCTATTGACAATCTATGACAAATACTTACTACTACAGGTCGTTTCAGATTCAGTGTCCCCAAGTTGGCAAGCACGCTGTTTTACACCTGAAACAACTAGAGATACAGTCCTTACATTATTATGTCTGTATCAGTTGAACATTCAGCAAATTATCGAACAGAACCATTTTGTTCTTCTTCCTTTGTTTTGTTTTGTTTCTGGATACATCTGAACAAGCTCAGAGGAACCAAAGAGTGTTCAGAAGTATCCAAAAACAAAATAAACAGAAAGGAGCTCAGAAACTTAAGGGTGTCTACTGGGCCACATAATCTTAGCAAAGAGTCTACCATGGGGGCAAGCTAAGCACAGTTTGGTGAACCAGATTGAACTCAAGGGAAATGTTTTCAGTTTGGAACAATCCTTACATTTCTGCAACACTGACTTGGCTGGCCCTTCCAGCAGTACATAAGCCACTCCTGTCTCTTTCAAAAGCAAGCCTGAGCAGAACAATGACCAATGGCCAGTCAGATGACTCTTTTTTCTTATTAAAGCAATTATGAAATCTTTGAAAAGAATCCACAAACAATAAAATAATGTTCAAAGCAGATAGCGATGTCAGAGACTTAAACTGGAGGGAAATAACTCTTTTTTGAAAGTGCATAGGAAAGCAACTTTGGCCTGTTTATTCTTTCCTCAAGTATTTATTACCACCCCCAGTTCAGCTTTAGAGTGGAAAGAATACAGTACTTGCATGTATCTTCATTAGGCGGTTACAGTAATATGATACCATTTTAACTGCCATGGTGCCATTTAATGGAATCTCAGGATTTGTAGGTATGGCACAACCTGTTTTGAATTCTGTATGAGAAAGCTCTCATTCCTTTCCTGGAATGCTGCAGAGAATTCAAAGCAGAATTCAAACTACAAACCCCAGGATTCCATAGGGTGGAGACAAAACCATTAAAAAGACATCAAACCACTGTAACTGCATAGTGTAGATGCACTCTCATTAGATTTGTTGTTTAGTATTCTGAAATTACGCCAAGTAAGTGCCTGAAAAAGTTTATAATTGAAAGTTCAGCTTTTTATTATAAACTATCACACTGAATGAACTCTCTCTTACTTTTTCGGTATGCTGTAATTTCACTAAACTGCATCAAGCTTTTCTAACCCAACACATTTGTCTCTCTTTAAGACATCTCATTACTTCCAGTTTAAGAAAGCATGTCAGCTCTGAGTTTAATGTAGCAATGAAAATGTTTTCAATATTTAAATTGCTCTCCACCATAAAAATAAATGGACTATTATACTACACACATTTAGCATTTCAGTAAATAAGTTGCATAGGATGATGAAGAGAGTTTATGTCTTTCGCCTTCTACTTTACTCTGGTATAATAAAGAAATCCATTAAATTATCATAATTTCTTCCAGCATGTAATAGCAATAAAATCATTATTATTCTTGACAACTCAGGGTAAGTAACAGATACCCCTTCCTGATAATAAAAAGTTTATTTCCAATCTTTTAATTAAAACACCAGGCAGCACTTATTTAAAACCTTCTTTTACTGCAAGAACAGCAGGTTTACCATGAGATGCTTTTTTCACAGTTACATGTAGTTGCGTCTAATCATTAGATACAAATGGAGATCTTGCTTAATCTATTTATCTTATTTTGGACAAATAACACAGCTTTGCATATCAGTGGTTCATATCTTCATTAAATTAATTAACTGTTGTAGATGGAGCAGCAGTTTTGTCTTAACATAATGGATATGTGCAGCCATTATTCTTTACTACTAAAGATTTTTTTAAAATCTTATGTGGATTAGAATACTGATTGCTAATCCTTTGGATCATGATCCAAGGAATAGAGAAAATATTGAGAAATTGAACTTGAGTCCTGTTGTTGAACTAGGTGCAATCCACTTCGTCATCTCAGGACTTTTCTACCTCATTCTACTGTATCTTTGGAAAGCTGTGGATGCATATGACCTTCGCATGCATTTTACATGGCCCCTGTGCTGCGTCTGCCCATTTGGAGCCTTTGTGTTTAAATTTATGTAGAATTACTTACATTATGTTGGTGCACAGACAGGTTTGAATGTCTGTATTTGTGGACGAGCATGAGCAGAGTTGCCAGAGTGATCGGCAGTTGAATAGCTGAATGTATGTTGGTTAGTTTGATCGGAATATTGTGGGAGTGAGATCTGCGAGACAATTGAGAAATGACTGTGTGTGAGAGGGGGGGGTCTGTCTTATGTTAGTGTGGAGAAAGGAGTTAAAGTAATAATGTGTTGTGTGAGGCCTGTAGAAACAGTTAATTGTAAATTTAAAAGTGTATGGGAATATTATATAAGACTATATACATTATTTTTGTTTTTCACTTCGGTTTAGACTGATAAATCACCCTTCCCCTTCTATCCGGATACCTGTATTTCATTAATAAACTCATTTTGTTTGATTCTTTGAAAGACTCTCTTCTTTGTAACATTATAAAAATATTAGTAGCATGGAGAACAAAAGCAATAACGCCCTTGTCAGCCTACGCAATGCAGTATCAAGACTGGAATAAGAAAGTAACAAAGCTTATATAAAGAAAACTTTTCAGTTGAAAACTAAATATTGATCCCAACTGGGGCTAGAAGGCATTGTCTAGCTGGACATGTTTGTGGGTGGTCGTCCTTCAGGCTAATTATTAAGATAAAGTTGCCTCGTGGCTGCCTGGGGAATGTGTAACTCACTAAAGAGTGAAAATAGCAAGAAGGGTTGCCTCACCAGAGATGCTGCAGCCCCTGTTTAAAAACAAAATATTCCTAGTGAAAAAATGAGTAGAATGACATGCATGTGAAAAGCGATGCCCGTACATCTTCTTCCACATGTAGACAACATTCCTCCCAGCTTTCCAAACAGCTGCCTAGTTTGCTTAGAAAAAGGGTCTTTCTGAGAAAGCTGAAGACATGCTTAGAGTAATCTCTTTGCACCTCTTTCCGTACATCATGCTTGATTCTCTCTGCTAAAAAAAAAAGAGGAAAAGAAGAAAAGGAAAAAATATTGTTCCATGATGAAAAAGAGAGGTGACTATCCTTCTTCACCCCAGCAGGAAGGGCCTTTTGAAGCCAGAATCACACTGTCTTATCACAGATTGAGCTTTGTTTTCAAGCCCATAGGGAGGAGAGATTTAAACCTCTCCATCTCTCTTAAGCTGAGATGGTGGACAGAGGAGAGAATCTGTTTGTGTATCTTTTCCCGGTGTTGGTAAAGCATATATTGGGTGTGTGTGTCAAACTAGAATACATATTTGGCATGTTTTCCAGAATTGCTCAAGTTGTGAATAGTGTCTGTTGGTCACAGAAATATATTTTTCCTTACCTACAGATCTTGCATTTAATGGCCTTAGCTTCAGCTCTGTGATGTGACTAATCAGAGAAAATTAATTCACAAGTCTGACTGCTGAGGTGTGGAACTCTGAGAAAATCCCACTATACGGAAAATGGCCTAAAATGGCCACGCGCAGCGTTTTCGCGCCCTCGTTAAGCGAGGAGAGGGCGCAAAAATGGCTGCCGGCCATTAGAAAGCTTCGTTGAACGGTGAGTATTTGGCTCATTTGGAACGCATTAAACCATGTTTAATGCGTTCCAATTGAAATCCCTGCCCCGTTCAACGATGCTTCAGCATAGCGAAGGTTAATCCGGAACGGATTAACCTCGCTATGCGAGGCACCACTGTATATACATTCCCCTTAACACCTGTTTTGACCTTTTTTGTGCACTTATCTGTGAGGGAGACAAGGAAGAAGGCTGTGCTGCATGTGGCTGGCTCCCTTATATGCAGTCGGTGGAGCCGAAAAAATTGCCCACTACTCTTTTATTTTATATCTAGATCTAAGATAATCAATGTTGAGAACACATAAAATATATTGGGGTAAGAATAGATAAGTGTCACATTTGGGTAACAAAGAACATGAATGAAGCACATACTTTCTCACCTTCCAGATTACTGTCATGGAAATACTTTGGAAAGATGCCCAAGATTCCACTCAGCAGAGCATGCCGGAGGGCTCCGAACACTACAAATGTAACATGATGAAGTGCCCAATGCACAGCATAGATTAAAGGTGTGTGGAGATAAGATAATTAAGTGGAGGGTCCAAAAGTACCTAAATGCATCACATCTCACCTTCTGCACAATATCCCATGCACCCCTGTGTGGGCTGGAGCAAGTATAGGAAGAAATCTCCACAGTTTCTCACGCTAAGAGGAATTCGGAAAAGGCAGCAGTCTTTTGTGGTGCTGAAGAAAAACTGCCAAGTTGCACAGGCTGTTAAATGTTTGATCTCACCAGGTCGAGGCAAGGATTCTGATTCTTTCAGTGACAACCAGACAGGGGCCTGTGTTCCACAGTGATTCATCTTTGGGCATCAAAAGCAGACAGGAAAAGATAATGAGTGCAGACACAACACTTCCACCACCCAAAATAAGAACAGAATGAGAAATACAGAACACACCAAATCCATTTTACAGCAGTGTACACTTCATGAAACAAATACAATTTAGTAACTCAACCTTCTGCCACCTGCCAGGTGCAACAAAAACAGAATGTGTGACAAGCATTTAAGAAGCCATGATACGGATGCTTCACAAGTTAAGTGTCAGGAATTGCTAGAATTTGTATGTTGCTGTTTCATGTCATGGCTCATATTATTGTAAGTGACAGCATCCTCCATGGAGTACCTTTTTTGCTGATTTAACTTTCTTGGGCTGATCATTAGATTCTTCTAGGCAGAAAGAAGACTTTCTCTTCCAAACTGCCCTTGCTTTAGTTACGAGGTCCTCCTGAACGTTGACATTGTCTGACTCTGCTTCCTCATTTGGCCTTCAGGTGTGAACAGCTTGTAGTCTAAGGGGATGACTCAATCTAAAATGGTGAGGCATGACACACTCCTCTTTGTCATCAGCTCTCTACTTCAGTGATTCCAAACCTTGCATCCCTATATGTTATTGGACTAAAACTTCCAGAAGCCTTCACTACCAGTTGTGCTGGCCAGGATTTCTGGGAGGTATCGTTCAAGAAGACATGGGGACTCAAGATTGGGAACCACTGATCTACACCAGGGGTCCCCAACCCCCAGGCTGTGGACCACGACACACTCCTCTTTGTCATCAGCTCTCTACTTCAGTGGTTTCAAACCTTGCAATCCCTATATGTTATTGCACTAAAACTTCCAGAAGCCTTCACTGCCAGTTGTGCTGGCCAGGATTTCTGGGAGGTATCGTTCAAGAAGACATGGGGACTCAAGATTGGGAACCACTGATCTACACCAGGGGTCCCCAACCCCCAGGCTGTGGACCAGTACTGTTCCATAGCCTTGGAAGGACTGGGCCGCCAGGACAGATGAGTGGCAATCAGGAGGTGAGTGAGCGAAGCTCCGCCTTCTGTCAGCATGCTCCTATTAGGTTCTAATACCTCTGCTGATCTGAGAAGAGGCAGGGCTTTGCTCCCCTCCTGCTGCTGCTAGATCAGCTCTGCCTGTGCTATTAGAATCTAATAGGGGCCTGCGCTCCTATTAAGTTCTAAGCTGCTCCTATTAAGTTCTAAGGCCTTGGAAGGACTGAGCTGCCAGGACAGATGAGCGGCAAGCAGTAAGTGAAGCTCCGCCTCCTCTCAGCATGATCCTATCAGGTTCTAATACCTCTGCTGATCTGAGAAGAGGTGGAGCTTTGCTCCCCTCTCCCCTCCTGCTGCTGCTAGATCAGCTGTGCCTGTGCTATTAGAATCTAATAGGGGTCTGTGCTCCTATTAATTTCTAAGCTGCTGTTGATCTAACAGGTGGAGATTCAATTGCAGCTCACCTCCTGCTCGGTATTTCCTTTTTGAGCTCAATTCAAAGCTATCCTCCAATAACCTATTGCATAACAAGTACCTCCCCCCACCCCAGTCCTTGGGAGAATTGTCTTCAACTAAACCAGTCCCTGGTGTCAAAAATGTTGGGGATCACTACACCATTCACCCTGATTACTGACTTGTCCTACACTTCATGATTCCTCTGAAACTGTTGCCAGTTATCAATTGAGGCTGAGAAGTGAAAACCTGAATCATGCTTGCAAATGAAATTCAGACTTACCTTCAGATGACCAATTACAAAGCAAAATAAACTGAAGTCATGCTCCACCTAACCAAATCCTTTTCAGAGGGAGACAAAGACCTCATGCAACCAGAAGAGGCTGGTGAAGAAGAGGAACTCAGTGCTTCAGCTGTGTTCTTCAAGAACTGTGGTTCTCAGTCTTGGGTAATCCAGGTGTTCTTGGACCGCAATTCCCAGAAGCCTTCACTGCAAGGTGTGCTGGCCAAGATTTCTGGGAGTTCTAGTCCAAGAACATCTGGATTATCCAAGGCTGGGAACCACTGTTTTAGAAGCTTTGGGAAGCAGAACAGCTCACAGGGATGCTACTGAAGATGAAGAGAGCATGAGAGATGTGAGGCCTATTAGTCCAAGGGAAAGAAGGAGACTGAAGAGATTAGAAACAGGCTCAGTGTCTCAAGGCTCCCTGATTACTAATTAGAAACAGCAAGAGGGAAGGGGCAAGTTGAGGACTATAAATTCTGTGTATGTTGACAGCAAAACATTTGTGGGAGACAATGTACAAGTTCACCTCTCACCTGCTATCCAACAAAATTCTTGTAGCCTTTGACAAATTAACCCCTAATGACCATGCCTCTGCCTACTCCCAGTGGTCAAGGTGACTGTTTTCTCAGACTGAAATAACAGCTTGATCCACAGCTTGTGCTGCCCTCCCACACTTGGAGAAGGATGTGTCAGACAATGTAACTCTGGCACTTACTGTCCAAAAAGCCCCACAGCTAATTTGGAGAGTACAGGAGATATGAACCACTTCAGCTATCACAATGACATGCTTTCAGGACATATGGAAGTTCATCTTCTAAGGATGAGTTATCTGTGACTTTCTGTTTGGCCCCCAGTACATAACTTAATTTGAAAACAAGGAGATAGGAGCAGAAAGATAACTTGCTCCATAAAATAAACCCAGGGGAATACTTTTGTCACTCATTATCATCACCCCCAGATCACTGCCCTTTTTTGAATCTATCATGTCTCCAAATGTTACGTACATCAGTGCAAAGCAAGCAAACAAAAAGTTAAAGCTTTTTCTAGTACAAGACAATGGGAAGTTAGTGATTCAAGTGTGCACAGGAATTCAGAGTCAGGGCACAGATGACTTGGTCAGTGCCTGGCTTGCTTTTGTCCAAAACAGGATCCATCCTGAATCTCCAAACTAGACTCTGAATGAAACTGGGGGAATATACTGTCTACAAACCCCCACAGCTAATTTGCAAATTACAGGAGACATCAACTGCTTTAGTTGTAACAACCACATGTTTTCAGCCAATACGGAACTCTATCTTCTAACTATGAGTTATCTGTAACATACTTTTTGACCCCTGGTATATAATTTAATTTGAAAACAAGGATACCTTTAGTAGAAAACCCTTCCACCTAATGATGAGCTGGGTATCTGTGTTTGCTCTAGTAATGGAGAGTACTTGGTCTGAGGGTTTGTTCTTTATTGTTTCATCTTATATACCCCCCATATTGCTTAGAGAACTCTTTGGGTAGTTTAGAACATAAGTAAGCAAGGAATATCTTGCCCTCCACCCCCCAACTAGCTGGGTACTCATTTTACTGACATCAGAAGGATGAAAAGCTGAATCAACCTTGAGCCGGCTACCTGAGCCTGTTGGGATCAAATTCAGTCCTGAGCCACTGCACCATTGGGCTTGAATTAAACAAGAGAGCACCTCTGCTATAGAAGGCAATAAAAAAATTATGCCTCGATGACCACATTCTTTACTACTGCCATATTTGCATAATCCACATGCAAATGAGCAAAAAAATAACTGTTTACCTCCTAATAACCAATTGTCAAACAAAAGCCAGTTAATTTATATCTTGCTGAGCTATAAAACCTGATCTGAGAATAATCTAACATTCTTCACTTCTTAAAGCAGCTCTGCTTCCAACTGTAAAGCTGTAATCTAGTCTAGTTTATTCCCAAATTAGACAATGAAAGAGATAGGGAAGGGGAGAAAGAGCACACACATGCTAGAGACCACAGGTCTGTGCTCTCTGATGGAGTATACTGCCTACTAAAATATATACTGTACTATAGATCAAGAATAATCAAATAACAGCAATGAATTTTGTAGCTTGGTGATTGATCTAGCAGGATGATTCCTACAAAACATAAAATAAAGAAAACATAAAGGTGCTTGTATGGAAAAATGTTTAATTCATAATACTATATATAAAAAAAGAAAAGATTTTTTTCCCATGATATATTTATTTTTGATATATTTAATGGAATATACCAATACCTCTACGCACTTGGTTGGCATTTCAGCCTGTTTATCAAAAATTAGGAAGCGGTACCACCCAGGGGCTAGTGAATGGTCACATATTAGGTCTTGAATAGCTGATTGCTGAAGTTGTGATGAATCAAAATCAACACTTCGGTATGGACTCTGAAGTATCTGATGACCACCTGGACGGCATTCCGGAGCTGCAAAAAATATTGGAACCACAGACGTTCTTAAGCCTCAATCTATAATATTGCACTGGTTTTTAAATATCTTTAACCAGAAGCATGACAATAACATACAGTGGTGCCTTGACTTACGAATGTCGCTACTTATGGCCATTTTGAGTTACGACCATCTGGGGCCACAAAATTTTGCTTCTACTTGCGACTAGAGCTTCCACTTATGAACAGAAAAAGGCAGGGGGAAAAGGTGGGAAATTCAAATTTCTAACTGTAGGTGGCGACGAGTCTGCTTCTTTGTAACTCTTTCACCTGAGCAGTTAGAGAGTGTGCTTCGGAGGAGGCTTGGGACTGCCTCGCTTCTGCTTCTGAGTGAGCGTGTCTGTGTGTTTGCAGTGAGACTTTGGGCTGCCTGGTAAGGTGCTGTTTTCTGCTTTTTAAAAACTGTTCTGGGTATTTTTGCAGCATGGTTTTGAGCTGGGGGAGGTTATGTTTCTGTGCTGTGATGGGTTTTGGGGGGGTTTGTTTCCACCCCCCATTTCTGATGGGGCTTGGGGGGGTTGTTTGTTTTTTGGCTTCCCCCCATTTCCAATGGGTCTTGGGGGGGTGGTTGCTTTTGGGGGGTTCCACATTTCTGATGGGTCCTGCATGCTTCCTTTGCTTTTTCCTTTGTTTTCTTTGCATTACTGACCTGCCCCCTTTGCTCTCTGCGCATTTCTGATCTGCTCCATTTATTTTATGTGCATTTCCAATGGGTCTTGCACACTTGATTCCTTTTCTCCCCCCCCCCACTTCAGCCAGAAGGGATTAATTGCATTTCCAATGAGTCTTGCAGTGATTTTTTTGGGGGAGGGTGTTGAATGAGTCTTGCAGTGATTTTTTGGGGGGAGGGTGTTGATTTTTTTCTTCAATTGGAATTGATTAATTGCATTTCAATGTATTCCTATGGGAAATGGTGCTTCAACTTACAACCATTTCAAGTTACGTCCATCTTCTGGAACGGATTATGGTCATAAGTCAAGGCACCACTGCAATGCAATTAATGAAAACAGAAGCACCTGGTTACTGGTTTATTTCTATTAATCATGATATGGTGAGCTAGAATCTAGAACTCTCTAGTCACTCTTCAAAACTAAGAGCAAAATCCAAATATCTTTGTGCAGAAAAGAAAGGGCTTCTGCTTATATATGAGGGTCAAAATATTCAAAATGTCTTTTACTGAGAGTGTAAACAAGACGATATGGTAGACAGATGGGGAATGTGCTTTGGAGTTCAAGACAACTTTGTAGAATTTAGGCATGTCTTTTTAAGTACTTAATGTTTTGAGAAACATTAAAGAAGTAATTATAATTCAATAAATTTAGGGGCCTTGGAATTTCTCTCTCTCTCTCTCTCTCTCTCTCTCTGTGCGTGTGTGTGTGTGAAGAATGTTTGATATATACTTTTATAAGAGAGAGAGAGAGAGAGAGAAGAATGTTTGATATATACGTTTATTTTCAAAAGTTACTTTCCAAGCTCTCGAACAAAGGCACCTTATGTCAGAAATAACAAAATGTTGCACCATCCTAAAGACTATTATTTTTTGTGATTTTTGGCACAAACTTTTGTGAACTACAGCCCACTTCATCATAGTCTCAGCTGTCAAATACACTGGAGATGCATTGCTACGTATACACTCCAAACAACTTATGAAGTGCAAAGTTGTCCACGCTCTAATCCTAACCTTTAATGTATAGGCTGAAACTTACATTCCAGGTCCAACTGCCGAATTGCAATACTTAGTTTGAGGGCTGGTCTTGTAGATGGACAAGCTGACTGTCTGTACAAAGCAATGAAGTAAAATGAGCACCAAGCTAAATTTAGTGCCTTTGTTGAGTGCACTGCCTGTGTTAAACTAAAATTAAGCAGCAAGTGTCATTTCAGACTGTTTAGCCAGGAATAACTAAAAAAACCTGTCACATACTGTTTTTTACATTGTTTCTTTTTCAGTTTCCAATACAACTGGATTTATTTACCATAGATAAGAATCAACCAAATGTAGCTTTACTGTGAGGCAACATTTAAAAGCTCTAAAAAAAAAATAAACACAATTTACAGAGCAATCCTGACTCAGAACCTTCTTCTGCAGGTCGAAATCTTATGCTGATTGAAATGCCTGTGAGTGAGTAGAATCTTGTTGTGTAGTTGATCGCAAAGATTTCACAACAGAGGGATCTGCCAGCAGAGCTGCTCCGTTGATCAAGATTTGCCAGTGGAAGAGTAAAAAAGGGGGGGGGCAGAGGAGGTAGAGGAGGAGCTCCTTGTTATGCCAGATACAAAACATCATCATAGAGTTAGGTCCCAGTGAGGGCAGTTTTAAGTAATTTCAAATATCTCTCGGGAAAGAAGGATTTGAATTCAGCACAGATTCAGCTGGCTGGGTGAGCTTAACTAGCCCTCAGACCTCTTAGCTAGTTAGGTTCTGTCCTTTATACTACAAGTAGACATTTCTTGTCTTTTTTGTTGCACAAGCCAATATTACTTTTCTGGAATACAATAGTGCAGTAAGATGGCCTTTTCTCCTCCCAGCCTTTTTCCCCCTAAGATTTATTTCTTTATTCTGCAGAAATACCTGTCTTCTGTTAAATCATTTGGCGTCCCTACCCTCTTTTCAAAAATTATAAAGTTGTGGGGAGAAACCCACTGCTGACCTTTCTTGAATGCCATAAGGCATTTCAAGCATGTTAAGGTGTAATATCATAAGCAGCGGTAATCATGAATCATTATTGATATAACAACAATTGGTAATAACAATATCACTATTATATTGGTACTACTAACATTACTGTTATTATTGGCAATTTGCGAATTTTGTCCTCTCTAACCCAAAGCAACTTGTGACTGACGTGAAACCACTACAAGCAAAGAATAACTTTTCAGCAAGGCCGACAAGGAAAGCTGTAAAAAGAAAAAGCAATAAACATTTCGCTGGACAATATTCCAACGCCACTGCAACCTTAATAACAACCGAGTGCTGTTAAGTCGAGTCTCCCTTATGGTGACCCTTTGCAGGGTTTTCTAGCTAGAGAGAACTCAAAAGGGGCTTACCATCCCCTTCTTTGGGGGGCAGCTGGGGCTGTGCAGCTTACCCATGGCTACCCAGGCTGGCTCTTCGCCGAGGAGCCGCGGAGGGGGATCGAACTCCTGACCTCTGGTGCCTAAACCACGGAGCTATCCAGCCATTGCACCCTTAAGGGGGTTTACCTGTGCATTCTTTTCCACGAAAGACTCTCCACAGCTCGGTTCGTCGCGTCCCCCCCTCCCACAGTCTC